TGATTCAGTTCGATTTTATGTATGCATCGTCATCAAAAATCAACCACAGAAACTCACACAAAGAAAACAATTTGTGTATACAAATATTATTTGTGCGAATGCATTTTGTTGAGCGTTGATTTGCAAATGACGGTTAAATATTTAACCAAAAATCTGCTGCTAAAAATTAAGTAATCATCAGTAACAAATGTTTCACATGAATTTAATTTTTAACACTATTCTTTCGATTCAACGAATGAATTCTTTAAATACAATCATCGAAATGAAATGAAATCAAATCATTTTGTGCAAACGAACTTCATTGCGATTGGCTACAGCATACATTGTTCTCGCTCCTACTCAAAACAAAGCTAATTTTGTTCCGAAGCGAAATTCATTCAATAAATCTACACAATACCGTCGCTCTTCCTCTTATTTCTACAGCAAAGACAATGGAAATATTCATGTGTTGCATAAGTTTCAACGCGTTCAGATTTTTCCGGTTTGTTTTGCATTGATGCAAAGTTTTCTCCATCGCTGTTAAGAATGCTAGTGAAAATGGTTTGCGTGGAAAGGAATCATCAACATTCTTTTCGCTAAACTTTCGTAAATTCCGATGAGGACGTTGATTGCAGGGGGGGCCAGCATTGGGTCACATCGACGAAGGCGCCTCCATTTTGACGGTGGTCCGAACAACTGTTTTGACATATTTTGATTGGATGGAGACGCCCTAAGTTTCTTTCAACTGTCATTCATGCGACTGTCAGTGATATTTGAAGTGTATGTTGAAAAGGTTTTTGTGATGATGTTTCTGTAGTAAAATAATATAAAAGAGAAATTAATCAAGAACTAAAAAAAAAGTAATATTTTCGTCAAATCCTACAGAAACATTATCACAAAAACCTTTTCAACATACACTTCAAATATCACTGACAGTCGCATGAATGACAGTTGGAAGAAACTTAGGGCGTCCGACTTGACATATCTGTCAAGTTTAATGTTTGTGGCCCATCTGTCACTGCTGGCCCCCCTGGTTGATTGTGAATATATGAAAAAAATGATTTCTCACTCCTTTAGAATGTTTCGTTATTTTTCACCATCTAATTGTTCTCATTATCGTTGGATCTTGTTTCGAGCGTAAGTTCTACGCCTCCCGCTCAGCCAAAAGACCTTCGCGGTACATGACAATAGCTGGAGATGAACCGGTAGGAATGTTAGATCGCTTTTAAAAAACATTTTCCATGCACAGCGCACACACAAATTGTTATTGTTATAGAAGAAAAAAATATACAACGCCAAACACACGCAATTGATAAAGCTATTTCCTTTTAAGTCGAACCGAATCTGATTTACTTAATGACCAATACTTATCTATCAAAAGACGTTTAATATATTTCGCATATCGCTGTAAGATGGGTTCTATTTCCTTTAGATCGAACTATGTTCGTTTTGCTAAAAATAACGTCGACTCTATATTTTCTACTTCTTGTATTGTGTATATTCAGGAAAGTACCACCAATATTGCTTAATTAACTTTCATTTTATAGAATGTTTCGATTGCCCCAAAAGTCATACTTGCTTTTCAATCTAAAAACTTTTTCTCAACCGAATCAAATTTTCATTTTGTGTCTAAATAAGTTTTCTCCATCAAGTCAAGCTACTTTATCCACCGGATATATGATCGGCCTATTCATGTATAAAGAACCAAAGAAAAATCAGTAATGTTCCGTTGATTTTTCATTGTGTACGGTAATTTCATATGTGTCATGTTCGGCAACGTTCAATGGTGGATTCCTTTTGAGAATGAGAAATATGGTAATTTATTTCAACAAACACATGGAATGATCACGTTTAAATGATGAAATGCAAACACTGAAGACGAGAGAAGAACAGAGAACAAAATATTCGTTGAAAATTTACATCATTTATTTTCCGAATGAGAGATTTGTTTTGTAGATACTTTCCGAGAGCATTCGTTGACCGAGAGAAAAACATGGCTAGCAATTGTTCTGTATCTTCTAACATGTCGATTTTTTCTTTTGGTATTTAGGTTTTGTTGTTGCTGTTATTTTTTGAGATCATCTCGTCGTGCGCTATTTTGTGCTCAAATTCGATCTCTAATATTGCAAATGAACAAAAGTGTACATAATTTCAACTAAATGTGTGAAAATGTGGTGTGTGCCTCTCTCTCTCTCTCTCTCTCTCTCTCTCTCTCTCTCTCTATTTGAATCACCGTGTAAAATGTGAATTGAAAGCGATTTGGAGAACAGTCGCAATGATAAATGCTGTTGCACAAGCTGAAATTACCATGAGCCGAGAATAAGATTTATTTAAAAAAAAAAGAGTTAAGCGCATTAATTTTGTTGATTTGTTGGAGCGTATGTGTGATGTGAAGTGAGGAGCAATGTAATCGCGAGCCAGAGCAGACCCATCAAACCAAAACAAAAGCCATGATGTTGGCTCTAGCATAAACTTTAATCTCAGTGCATCGCATTTGTTATTGAATCTAACGATAGAAACAAAGAGACACGACAATCGAGCGAGCCTATTGCCTCAGCTTAATCGATTTTCTAGCGCATAAAATTATTCCGAAATATACTGTAAACGCATAAACATACTTAGCAACTTTGATGTGCTTTCGTGTCAGATGATTTACAATCACACATTTGCATTTGAACAATCTGTTTCTTTTTTCTTGACCATTCAGAAATAATTAATCGAATCCTATTACGTTGTGCCGCTCGCTCGATTCACATCGGTCCGTTTTCATACAGCCAATGGTCAATTGTCAAATTAACAAACATCAAGAACCCACAAAATATAGAGAGAAAGCGTCCAGAGGAAGAGGGGTGAGAGAACTCACACACAAAAAAAAAAACGGAGAGAAAATAATGCGATGTATTTTCTCAATAAGTTTTGAACAGCGTTCAATGCATGCACTGGCGACACAGATAAATTGTTTGCTATCTATTATGGATGAGATTTTGAATAGTTTCGAAATATTGTTGAGCTCTATTTGCCATCTCTGCCACAGCCGGAAACGCATTACGAAGAAAATCGAAGAATGAACAAAGAACACACACCGCCGACAACATCAACGACGTAACGATAATCGCGTACAGTTGCAATTTCTATGCAAAAATGGCAATGACGACGGAAAATACACGCGCACATACAGAAAAAGCGTGCAATCAAAAAGTACATTCAAGCAAATCATACAACACTAAACTGCGAATTTGAAGGAAAAGCAAAAAAAGCGGCCCGCTTTAATTGCCTTGTGCGATTGTGAATCTTTTGTCATGATGTTGACATTTTATGTACGTTGCTTCGGTCTCGGAATGATATATCGTTTCGTTTGTCCAAGACAATTCTGCAATCGAACATGCGTTTCTAAACAATATATCTATTCACCGGAGAGCGAGAGAGAGTGAACAAAGTCTATGTGAGGCGAAACACATCACAAATAATTGTAATCGGTTTTCTTCACTACTCCAGATGGTTGCGAATTTCTTTCCATACATTGTTTTGGCCATTTCAATTGGGCAGCGTGCTCCATCAACTGTCAGTCGTCATTAGTAGTTATTTTCTATTTGTGCAATGGGCATTTAATATATTCTAAAGTCTAATTATTTGACCGTCGTTTGCAAATGCAAAACGATTAATGAACATTGAAACTCTCAGTCGCAATACTTCGCCGACATCGACCATCCAAACCATAGAAAAAGATTACAATTTCGAAGCCGAATCGAAGCGAGAAAGGAAGAACGAGGTAGATTGAATCGAAGAAAAAGAAGAAGAGGAAGGCAGTGCGCATACACGAAATGAAATCCGAACTCGGATCTAAATCACGATTTCGGTGAACGACACACACGGACCAAATAAATAAGTTTACAATCGATTGCAACTATTTAAGGGACTTTGGAATGGTTCGTCTCTCATTGCAACCGATTTCTCGCTTGAGCAAGCGCCCATCCATTCGACGAATGTCTCTTCAGTTGGGACAATATTGAGCGCAAGCGCACATTCGCTCGCGATCAAATAAAATAGCACACATATAACATTAAATGAAAAGGCTTCAACTGGAAAAAAAAGATGTAAACTTAAAAATATTCATATCGTCATCTGTCGCGCCATTATTGTCTATTCGGTTCTCATAGTGATCTTGCACTATCGGTTTCTCATTCTCTCTTTCTCTCTAGGTTTGCAATTGTGACCAAAGCGCGAGCGCGATTACATTTAAATGAAATCGGCAAAATTTCGAAGAGACAAGCGACAGAGAGCGATAGCCAAAACATTCATTGTGCCAAGCAGCCACAACATGCATCAGTAATAAACAAATGGAAATGCGCGCGCTTACTCCAAACCACATTTGGTTGACGGCGTGTCTCTCTCTCTCTCTCTCTCTCTCTCTCTCTCTCTCTCTCTTTCTCTATGTGTGTGTGTGTGTTTCCTGAAAACTGTATGGAGACAGCAAACATCTCTCACAGTGGCATTGATTCATGCTGATAAAAATGATGTTGAAAGTATTATTTATTCGTCGCGTGCTTTTTTTTCTTCTCTCCGGTTGGTTGTTGTTTTTGTGCCCCGCAGATGCCGTCTCTTTTGCATTCTACTTGGCATAATTTAATTCTAAATTCGCGTTCGTTTTGTCATCGCCGTTTCGTGTTATTTTTTTTGTCTATTTCCTCTTTCGGTCCAATATTGTGTGCGCCGCACACTATCAGCACTTCGGAAAAGTGTGCACACTCGATTTGAGCAGGAAAAATTTATCAAGATTCATGATTCGTGATCAGTTTTGTTATTTTTCGTGTGTGTGTGTGTGTGTGTGTGTGTGTGTGTGTATGTGTGTTTCTTGTCTGTTTTTGATTTTGGTGTACTTCATTGTCCTATTCACATCGCACTTCGTTGTTTATACTTTTAATTTCTCCACACGCTGATGAACTGCTGATGATAAAACACTTAGGCACAGTCTCTTTTCTCTTCCAAACAAATAAACAATTTTCGTTTCGTTTGCATTACAGAAAATGGTTTTGGTCTTAAATGGTGTTTTACAAGATGACTGTCCGTCCGACACAATGTCATTGTTCATGCAACATCCCGTATACAGAGATTATGCCAATCAACTGGTTTCGATACCAACGAAAACGGTAAGTTCATCCCGTTGTGTGCACACAATGTGACACTTTGATATTTGAATGGTTTGAAATTTGATTCCAAAGTTTGGCATTAAAAGTGACTCATTTAATGTAGAATGTCAATTTGAAAATTTGTTATTTTCAGTAAAAAAAATCATTATGGCGAATCACTTTATTGATTCGAAATGCATTGTGATTTTGCGATTCATTTAAATTAACTGTTCAATTTCATTTGACATTTTTAAAAAATTAGCTATTGATCATAATCACAATTCGTTTGTTTCGATTTCACAAACAGATCGGTCCAGTAGGTTTGTTATATGTTGGCCAAAGGGAAATGGCAGCAGTTGCAACGCACGATAAAAATGTGAATATTATTGGTGCAGACGATGCCACCACTTGTATTATAGTTGTAGTTAGACATTCAGGTAAGCTATTATGTTTTTTTTTTTCTTATATTGAACAAATTTAAAACCGTCAAACATCGATTCATAATAACTAATCAAATGGTAATGCATGTTTCTAAATGTTAGGTTCTGGTGCTGTTGCGCTGGCTCATTTAGATGGCAATGGAACGGATGAGGCAGTATCTACCATGGTACACAGAGTTCAAAATTTAGCATTCGGTTATCCAGAAGGTCGAATAGAATTGCAATTGATTGGTGGCTACAGAGACCAACCGGGCGGCTATGCTGAAGACTTATTTTATAACATAATGCGTAAGTAGAGTGCAATTAAAATGATTTTTTTTCCCTCGATTCGAAGCGTTGAAATATTCTGATATCAATTACTGGTGCACAGTTTTGTTCGAAATGTCGTGGCTGTTGTCGGCGCAAAAAAAAAAACACACACACATACGATGTTTTGGTAGTACAATTGATAAATGTGGTCGTCGATCGCATTTTGAGTATGAGTGCGCTGAACACAGACGTTATACATTTAATTGACAGGGGTCAAGAAGTTGAAGCTATTTCATAGCTGTAGTTTTGTACTCCATTTTCCATATTTCACAATTCCGATATGTGCGTTCACTGTGAAATCAAATGAAATTGAATGTGTGTGTGTGTGTGTGTGTGTGTGTGTGTGTGTAACGCATGAAAAATATTGAAAAGCAAAGAGCAGAGCCAACGAGATCACTGTAAGTGAATCGAAACGAAAGCGAATTAGAATCAAACATCATTTAATTATTCGATATTGATTCGATTTAATTATTAATTGAGAACAGATTTATGTGGTCATTTAATTCAATTTATGCTATTTTCTAGTGGCACACAGATTCCAATTTATGATTCCCCTCCTTTTGACTCATTTGCCGGTTATCGAATCACAATGCGTCTTTTTTCCTTCTCTGGTTCAATTTTCATATTACAGTTTGTGTGCCTAAACTCTTTTTGGCAACAGTGTGGAATGTCTGCATTGAATGGTTTTTCCATTGTTTTATATCAGTCCCAATTGTTGGCAATAATGAATGCATAGCATCTCGGAATCCCTTTTATTTCTACTTTAGATTAAGCCGAATCAACTGGGGCCAATGCATCAATGAATGACCATTAATGGCCACATCAAATACCGTTAATTGCGTTCTTTTGAACTTATTATATTACAGTTGAGGGTTGCACTTATGATTTATACATATGCGCGTCTGCATTTAAGAAACTGTCATACATTCTCTTTCACATACACACGCTATTGCTCTCGCTTTCTTGTCTGCATTCGAATAGATTTAATAATGTTTCGTTATGTGGGCAGTCATTAACAGCTGATTCTTTGTGTATGACTTCTGATGAAATGTTTAATTTCGCCTCTATACGTGTATATAAATATTGATTCGGCTATAAAACTTTCGAAAAATAAATAATCAGCGCAAAACCAAATGGTTTATTTGATTTTAAATGCATTCTCACAGAGAATTACGAACGATTAAAATTGACTCCTTTGAATTATTGCGCGTTTATCAAAAACCTATTGAACAAATCATAAAACAACATATGAGAAAAAATATCAAAAGCCAGCGCACGTTTTAAACTCAACGAACTCCCTTCGCCCTATCTCTCTCTCTCTCTCTCTCTCTCTCTCTCTCTCTCTCGCACTGTTTCTCAGCTGCCAAGTGTAAATGTGAACAAGTTGATTTACGGCGGTTGTAAATGAAATAAATTAGGAAGGATTTTATGAGCATGTACACGTTTGTACGTACAAAAGTTGACATTTTACATGCTCATCGAACATGTAACATCGAGTTAACAAGATGTCCAGAAGATTATTTACCATTTACTCGGTGCAACCAAAGCGATGATTTTATTTCGATTCGAAGCTCTCAATCGATTTTCGTTATGTTTGCATTCATCAGTGGTAGATGCAGTCGGCTGAATCTTAGACTTTTGTTAAGCAGCCGACAATCATCGTCGTAGTTTCGTTTGCTCGTTCGTTCGTTCATTTCAAACAATGGCTACCGATATTCAGTTACCGCGCAAATATAATTCGATATTGTTGCCAATCTCAATTTCGATTGCATTAAAATTAATTTGTGAAACATCTTCAGAGCAATTTTACACTCACTCTATCAATTGCAAATCGAATGATGCACTCCAGCAAACACAAATACACCAATATTCACGTGCTGTTCGGTGTGTTTAATAAATAAGCGGGAGTGAGCGACACGGAATGCATTCGCTTCGGGCACAATCGACGAAAGAATAGGAAAAAAAATAACAGCAAACGGGAACATATGTTAGCACATCTATTATCATCATATGTCTCATTCTGTGTCGTTAGTTCTTTCATAGTGTCGTCATTTTCGAGTCTCGTATTTGCAAATCTTTGTGTGTGTGTGTGTGTGTGTGTTTCTTGTTGTGTTTTTTAAACTTCTGCTGTAGTTTCATATCGTCGTCTCTTACGATTGCTGCCTGCCATTTTAGATTGAAAATGTTAAAGTAAATTGGCATACATAAACATCAATATGCAAACATATTAAATTAAATTAGTCAATAATAATGTGTTTTGTGTTTGCATATAATTATTTACCATATTCTCTCTCCGATTCGTCGTACACACAATGCAACAGATTTGTGCATTCATTATTCTCTGATTTTCGTCTCGTTCTTCCCTCTCTCCCCATCATCACATGCACAAGGAGTGAGTGATGCGTCGTTACATCGAATCTAATACAATTTTGAATGCAGTTGAGTGCAATGTAATTTTATAAATGCTAAGAGCACTTCAAGATCCTTGTGAGCACATATATGCTTTTGTATGCCGTCGTATTGTGTATCCAATACATCGATTGGTTTTGCCGAACTGCTGCTTCGTGTGTGAGTGTAAAATTTTCTATGAAATCCATATATTGTATGGCAATTCATTGTCAATATTTGCACAGTGTCTTGTTGTTATTATACGGTTTTGATCTTCGCACACACACACACACACACATTTTGTGTTTAATTGAATTTTATTACCGTTGCTTACAGGGTCCAAACATCGATTCCATTTCGTATTGTATGCAAATTTTTGTTTAAATTCCGGTTTTAAACTGAATTGGAATGCAATTGTTGTTTATTTGAGCTTGTTTTAAATTAAGTTGGGCCGAAAGTGGTGACGACTACGGCAGCGGCGGTATGGACTGTTCCAGTCATTCACAGCAATGCCGTTCATATTCATGTAAATTGGCTCATTATTATGCGAGATTTACATTTTAATCTGAAATTAATTTACATTCATAATGCATCCATTTTTCCAATCTTTTGGCGACAATTCTCTTTCTCTCTATTTCTCTCTCTCCCTCTCTCGAGAAAAGCTATAAATATGAAGTACCTTTTGAACCACGAAAATTACATCTTAACAAATCAGGCTGAAAACACGTCTGGCTTGCGCTGTATGTATTCCTGGGTATTCGAGTGTCTCATGTCTTACACAAGCGCCATCTCAATTCCTTCGGGCTGAAACATATATCGATGGCTTTCAAAAAAAGTTGATGATTCTAAATAAAATGGCGTGAAATGTCAATGATTGGTTCTACATAAATTAATTATAATTTTTTGTGTGTGTATGTTTTTTCTATTCACAATTTTTAAGTTCAATTTTTATTTTTATTAAACAATACACTCACTCAACATACAAAAAACAGTAATTCCTAATATCCACAAATTCTCCACGTGTAAAACGTACAGAACAAATCGCTTGAAGCGTTCGACAGTTTGACATTTCAAACACAGCTGAATGCAATGTATAGTAACAAACAAGAAAAAGTCATATTGAAAGTCGATTCAAAAATTGTTTAAAATGTTTTCTTTTCCAAAGCGTTCTTTTTGCACTTTTGGTTGCCAGTTAAAAATCTAAACTATACTCAAGATGAAATACAGTGAATATAGGTGAAAGACAGCAGAACAAACATGAGAATTGGTGGAATTGGTTTTAATTCGAAATTGGGAGTGTTGATTACCTAAGCCCCTTAGGCTAAGTGAATGTTATAAAAAGATGTCAATGTTATTTCAGTTTTCTTTGATACTTTGTTCTGAAATCAATAAATAACGAAGAACAATTGAGGCTGTGAGAATGAAAATGGCAATACAGGAATAAACATTCTGAACCTCATCAAGAAAAAAAAATTCGCAAAAGTGAGTCATGAGTTCTGAATACTCACAGCCTCAATTATCTGTTCGTTGCATCAATATTTTCAATTAAATTGTTGGTTCAACATCTGATGACACTTGCTTTGCCTGGGGTTATTGAGATGGCGCTTCGAGCACATCTGTATATGAAAAAAACTCACGAAAATTTCGCTTGGCTGAAAACCAACGCAAGTGAAGAATATGTGTAATAAATTGTACGAAGAATATGTATGCCTTCAACGAACATCCAGATTTATATAAAAAAGATGTTGCCCAGATGCAACGAACGAATCCAGTCCATCGTATCGAAGGCGGTGAAGTCAAACACAATTTTCAATAACAAACCGTTACACGTGGATTTGTTATGAAAACCGTACCCACGCATGTATGGCCAAGAGAATGGGAAAGATAGAGAGAGAGAGAGAGAGAGAGAGAGAGAAAAAGAGAGAGAGAGAGCTAGAGAGTATGAAGGGCTGACCAAAACATGCCAACGAATTTAATTCAATATCATCGTCTATCGTCAATTTTCTGATTAATTTAATCCCAGTGTCCGATGTCCTTTTTAGTCGAATAAATTATTATGTTACACATCCGTTTCGCAAAAACATGGGCATCGCATCAATGCGTGCTACGACAAGAGAAAATACGGAGTACCTGAGAAGATCCTTATGCCTTTCGCTTTCTCTCTCCCTCTGTCGCTCAATATGCCGAGGAAAACAAAAAGCAGCATAGAAACATATCATGCACAGTGCACACACATATGACCATATGATACCGCCGGACAATATTACAATGTCGCATATTATCCATTTATGGACGGGTTGAAAATCGGTACACGCTTTCGATGAGTGGACAGAAGAGAGAAAGACATGTGTGTATGCATGGTGTACCGTGCAGTGTCGTCGATTAATTCCATTTACGTATCAATATTATCTGGCTCTCACTGAGTGTGTTTGCCTGCTCTGGAGATGTGCACGTGCAAAGTACTTGCAACATTTTTCCTATTCTATTTAGAAAAGATAAAGTGAATTAAGAATAGATACACACAAACGTTTACACTGATTTCACGTCACCGAGCTAGATATCATAGTTCTATAGGCCAGTGCATTGTCCCTCTCAATCCTGTTCTGCATAAAATTTAAATTCCCCTTTGCCCGCAACGAAAGACGATGACTTCAGCGACTACAATTCAAAAACACAAACACAGCCGTAGAAGTGAATCGGTTCGAGACGCCGAACCAAATCATCGATGAGAAAATGATGGTGGTGCATTCTATTTTTTTTTTCTTCTCGTTCTCATTTGCTTGTGTTTTGTCCTTTTTTCGACGGGGGAGGCAGTCAGCAACTGGGATAAGCAGGCAGCTACGAACGTATGTTGCACTGAGTGAATGTGCTTTGTGTCTATGGTCAAACGAGGAAAGCAACTCGTTCGATTTATAGTTACAGATTCTGTTGCTGCTGCCCAACTTATGCTTGTTCACAATCGATTCGCTCGGAACTATGCTCCTTTTTGATTTTCTCTATGCGACAACCAGCAGCAAACACTGACCATTTAACAGCATGTACCATACACTTACACACCTCACCGATAAACGGGGAGCGAAGTGAAAGAGATGGAGAAAAGAAAACTAAAGAAAGAAGCAGAAGGATCGAGCATATGTAAGCATCAGACAGGGAAAATGGCAGGAAAAACACTGATTCATGTTTTTAGATTGAGATTAGAAATTCAAATTCGTAATTTAAGAAGATGAATAGCAACATGGTCCGAATTCAGCCAAAAATGCAATCATTCCCAACCAACCATCCAGCCAGCTGGCCAACAAAGAAATCCAATTTTCACATGCTTGTAAAACAGATGCCATTGAATAATGAAGCAAAGTCTTTGTGAGAATTAAGATGTGAAACGACATATCCAAAACTATCAAGAAAAAAAATAACTACACATATCAAATACACCTGATCACTGCATCAGCAGCAGCATCATCATTATCATCAGCAGCAGTAGCAGCAGCAGCAGCAGCAACAACAAGGTAAATGGACATCTGAAGAAGACTTGAAATATTCATTCGATTACCAAGTGATTTGGTTTCATCACATTGCCAATCAAAATGATTTCGATTGTGTCAAATTTATTTAACGACCGGGTAATTTTGAGCGGGAGGGACATGACAAACACGGAAACATTTGTGCAGATTTTCAACGTAAATCCTAACTGATTGATTTTGTCGGTGTAATCGTTTGACAAAACGAGTTAAATGACCGACATTCATTCAATTTATCCGCCGTCGAACGATGGCAAGAGAGGAAGAGAGAGAGAGAGAGAGAGAGAGAGAACGAACGAAAGATGAGGGAGACAGAGAACGAGAGTGATTCATTTCGATTTCGGTAGGCGAATGTGCGAAGCAAAAAGACATTAAGATGCACACCATGTGTAATGGGCCAATGGCGATGCTGATAAACGGAACACTGTTCATAATTCTTCCAACTGTTCGTTCGGATGTGTTTGGTGGTCATCGTGCGCATTTGTTCATACGTGTGTTTGTTTGCGGCACTCGCTTTAAGAAACTTTGGAAATCGTTATCGCATTCCGGTCATTTGATGCCATTTTTCATGGGAGTTTCGTTAATGTTTGGGCTACACAGAGGAATAGAGACAGAGTCTCCAATTTCCAAATGGTTGGTGCTAGCGATACGGTAGTGACGGTGGCTTCTCTTTACTTTTCGTTTCGAATCGAGCATGAAATTCGGCTTTAGCTTGCTTGTTCAAGTAAACTCCATTTAGATTTCGATCGTATGGAACAAACGTTGAATTATTTGAATATAACTAATATGCGTTCTGAAATCTGTATAAATTGGTGCGTTTTCTCATTGTATCGCTATCATATTGAAATAACACATACACACCCACATATTGGTGCACAAAATGCCTTCGACTTGTTATCACACTCAGTGACCATTCGATGGTTCGATGCCGAAGCCACAAGTAATATATATACATTATTAAAAATTAAACGATTCAATTTTTTAGACTTGAGTATGTGGATGTGGATGCTTACCGTTCAAACAGATACCTGTCTTTAATATCCCTACTGCAAATATATTATTTCTTAAAATATTTTCTCGCCTATTTTTTTTTATCAAACGTACCATTTTTCAAAATCTTTTACGTTTTTATTTAAATTTTATTAAAATATTTTTTGTGTACACTTTTCTAACAAAAAAAAAATACACAAAAAAGTGTGTAAAAATGTGAATAACAAACTTTTAAGCGTGATCGCTCCACTATCGAGTCGACAGTCTCGGTCAAGTATTTTACATGCGGGTCAAGCAGTTTGAGCGCATTGTGATAGATAGAAGAAGGATTTTTAGCACATAATGAAGGTAATTTAATACAGATAGATGTTTCGTGTGTATGAGCAGTTGGTTTGCCTTGACTCCAGTATCAGTTATCGATGATAATTTATCTAGCTTAAATTAATAGCTTGACCAAACGGCTCTTTAAACTCTCTTTCTCTCTCTCTCTCTCTCTCTTTCTCTCTCTCTTTCTCTCTCTCTCTCTCTCTCTTTCTCATTCTCTGCTGTTTTCTTCACTCTCTTTAAAGTTGGGTCTCAACAACGGGAATGCATTGAACTGTGTACAATATTTTGGTTTCGACAAACTATGTCTAATTTATCGGCAAATACTTTCCTGAACATGAATGTATCAATTTTGTGTGTACGTGTGTCTCTTTTGACATTGCAGTTGCTTTGAATGCCGCCGACATTTCGAGCAAAATGAATCGTTGCAATCTTCCAATGATGATTACTTGCGATTGATGTGCCATTGCAAAACAGAGAAAAATAATGGTTAAATATACTTTGGCTATATATACATATATTTTTTGTTTTTCTTCTCTTTTTCCAAATACAACAAAAATAGAGTCATTTCATAAACTACCAATAGAAATCGACTTAACGCAAGCCTGTGTCGGCGAATTGAATACAACAATACGAGGTGAATCAAATTGGCCAATTATTTATGGTGTTGGTGTGAACATAAAAACCGGTGAAATATTCCCAGCTTCATTTCCAGGTGAGTAAATGAATTCTCTTCGAAATAAAAGAGCAACACACTTTCCTCTGCATGAATAAATCGATTTTATTTAATCGGAATGGAACTACTAAATCGAAGATCCGACTCTGTGTAAAACATTGATATTATAAACGGAATTGGCAGTGTCTGTCTGACGCTAATATTCGATATATTCTTTTCATTCCAGACAAAGGTCCCGATTTGCAATTGCGCCAAGCACGAAATTTTACTGGCGGCCAAACGGTGAGTTTGAATGAATGGCTATCAAAATGCGCATGAATAGAAAAGCAAAAAAAGGAAAAATTTAGAATATCTGTGCTTGCAGAAATTAAGTGAAACAAAAATCATTTAATTTTTTTCATCACATTCGATTTTATGCATTTCGTTTTCCTTTATCTCTCCATAATTTGGGATGGTTTTAAACAGGTTTTAGATATATATGATTCAGCGGCTGGTATGTTGCGCATAGGACCGTTCAATTATGATCCCATCCGAGGAGTTGATCTATGGCTAGCTCAGAGTGATGAATTTTTATTAACGCATTTATCAACCAGTCCAGAAGTGGAACCACCACATTTCACGAAACAGGTAGGTGTTTGTGTCCCGTGTGCGTACATGCACGCGAGCAAATTGCAATGAAACGAAGCCACAACACTCGACATTTATATAATTCATTGTTGAAGATTGTTCATTTTTCTGCTGGTCGCCACTCGATCTCGTGTTGTCTCCTGGTTAGAGGAAAAAAAAAGAGTGTATGCAGTTGCCAATTGACCGCACACATGCAATAGCATACCCCGATTATGAGGCTATCAAGTGTTTCAAATTCACCGATTATCATTACCATTATTAATATTGTAATAATTCAGTTGCAGATGGTTGGTAAGACGTTGATGGTGCTGGCGATGTCAAGCATCTCAGAATGCCAATTTTTATAGCTTAAACGATTTTAATTTGCGTACATCGCATCGAGCTGTGTGTGTGCTCTGTACTCGCACAGATTTTTCGGACCATCGGAAAAGAAAAAAAAACTACCGTCACTTTTACGATGTCGTACGACAACGATTCGTATGTAGAGTTCCGTAATCGTCAATCTCTTTATTATTATTTTTTCTCTGTGTTCATTTTACTTTGGTCGAGTACATCGTATTGCGTCGCGTCAATCGAATAGAACGAAGCAAGTGCAAATTTCAGCATCCAATGCATTTAATGACTACAAGTTTTTCTATTATCAAATGAAAAATTTATATGTTTTTTTTTTTTGTTTTTTTTTTCGTTCGCATCTCGAAAATTTATTTTATTTATTGCCGTAAAAAAAATAGACAAATCTCAAGTTAGCGGATTTACATTTCTGTGACACTCTCTCTCGCAGCATTGGTTGGCCTGATCGCATGCCAAACGCTTTGCCATACAATATCTCTCCATTTCAAATTTCAATTAAATTCATAAATATGTTACCAGCGATTTTTGTCTTGTTAAGCCGCTCATAAACGTTACCAATTGATAATATGCGCATTCGTCTTTCGATTTTCGCACATAATTGCTATTGACACCCGGCCGGTTGGCCAGCCAATGTGAGTTCGATGAACAATTAAATTAATGCACGCTCATGTCCACCGTGTTTCATTTCATTCGTACAAACAATATTTATTGAGTATCACCATATAAAAACGGTACAAATACACCGAATAATTACATTCCATCGCTAGTAAATGTTTTACAGAAACAATTCTACTTGGAAATACTTGCCACGGACAGATTTGTTTGCTTCTTACAATTTTATTTACACTTGACTCGTTTTACCTACTCCAGTCGCACAATTTTCTCCCGTTTTGTTGTTGTTGTTGTTGTTGTTGGTTTCTTTTCAAATTTCTCAATTTATTTCACTAATTTCGTTTGCCTATCTCAATTTTTTTGTTTCTGTTTTTGGTTCGAAATACGCAATTTATGGAATGGACGCTGCAATGAAACAGGTTCGAGATACGTTGAAGTATATTCAAGATAATCAATTTCCGGCGGTGACTGTGTTTCGTGATAATCGGCCACGTTATTATCAACGCGACGATATGACTGGCGCTTGGACTCCAGTAAGATTTTAATTAATCCTTTTCTTGTTTGGTTTTATTTTTCTCGTCATGATTGTGTTAAACAATTGACTCGATCAGCTTAAAGAAGAAAAAAAAGAGCAAGAAGTGTTATTCCATAAATTCTGTAAGAAACAAAAACACGACTATTCCATAAATCCTCAGTTCAGTTTCATTTGACAAAAAAAAAGAATAGAAAAACAAGTGAAAAGAAACGGAATTTATACAAATGCAAGATGTACATTTATCATGAATGGATTTTTTTTCGTCGCCGTTAGAGTATCAAATATGGATGCACTTTGTATTATTGTCCATCTCTCTATATATATTGAAAACCAATTAGTTGCCATCAAAACTAGATAAATTAGCACCAAATCGGCAAACAAACCATTTGGGTGTATTCAGAATAAAAAAAAAAGAAAAAGAAAAAAACCCTTTTTTTCCATTTAAATGATGAATGTTTATTTGAAAGGAAAATCGCATCAATTGTTATCAATGATATTTTTACGTTACTATTTAATTATCGTTATTCTTTTACGTATGATGTGAGTTTTTTCAATTATTATAAATCTGTTTTCTTTTTGAGGCGAATAGTTTGATGAGAACAGAAAAAAGTGCGATATGCTAAAGAAAATAGCCGCAAACCCGGTTCTGAAACAAAAAATCGACAATTATCAATTCACTTAATTTATTGCAATGTCTTTTTTATAAGTAAACCATATTGTTTTTTCTTCCTTTGAACAATTCCTTCACACTCCGAATGGCCGCTCTCGCCCAAACAGAAACGGCAAAGAATATCCGTAACCTCTTTTCACACGTAATTCGGGCGAAGCGAATTTTGATTTGAAATGTTTTTATTGAATTTTATATACATATATGGAAAAGACATTTTTTTAAGAGAAAGAAAAAGATACTAATTTGTATATATCCCAATATATCGATATAATCAGATTGTAAAAGAAACGTTCCCCTACGTGAATTTGATTGACATAAAATCAAAACAATTCGAATTTAGTAACAGCGACAAAAATGCGCAAATACTACAAAAAAAAAAGAACAAATTTCAATCCCTTTATAAACGACCTTGATTTTCGTTTCGTTTCGGTTATAATGAACATTTCTATCAATTACAATTAAAAACAACAATAAAGAAACAATTTTATGTACTTTAGTTGAATAATTTTTTTTTTAATCAAAAACAAATGAAAAGAATAAACGTATTCAGTTTCAGAACAGCCAAATTTAAGTAAAAAAAAAGAAATTGAACCGAGTTTTATTTGTTAATTCTTTAAACTCCTCCGAAATCATGAATCAATTAAAATATCTTATCTGTTGTGATTGCTTTGAGGTAAGTTGTCTTCGTCAGACTTGAAATTCTTTGAATTATTATCGAAGATAATTAGAAAAATTACAACAAAAAATATGGTGTGATATAAGATATGCAATTCTATTGTTGACGTTGTTGCATCTTCAACAAATTCAATTCTAATTGAGATTACAATGTCACTTCTTAAGTGCTCATTTCCTTTGATCGTTTTCAAGAAATTTGCGTCATTCAATGAACATTAGTTCTATGCAAAATGGAAACAGAAAAACCAAATTGCTGTACATTTGACTCATTCTCTCTGTCTGTCGCGGTAATTTTGGATCAACGACTAATTCGACCAATTAAAATGCACCGATAGTAACTGCGTTACAATTAAGTCATTAATTAATTGGATTTGGTGCTGTTGGAGAAATAGAAACAAACGAATAAACAGAAGAAAAAAGCCAAAGCAGCACAATGATTACAGCAAAGAAGAAGAAGAAGAAGAAAAAAAAACAAATGAGTGAATAGTAATAGGAAATGCTATCAACGGAATATTCTCTTAATTCATTAGGCCACCACCGATGTGTGTGTGTGTGTGAGAGAGACAGTCAATAATCACAGCGATAGTTGAATAATCACAGCGAATGTCTAAGAGAAAGCAGAAGCGACAAAGGTGAGCTATGCGTTAAATGACAAATGTATTGAATGGATTGCTTTATTTCGGGTTTTGCGTCTTATCCAACTTTGTAAAAGAGTTTGAAAAAAAAAGCTGCGCCAATTTAGTACTCGATTAACAGATGACAAGCTTCTAGTTTCACCTTTCACTACTAGATGACGTTAACTGAAAATCAGCTGATTCCATGAGCCAAGCATTAGAAGTTTTCTCTGAAATCACTCGTTGTCGCATCGTTCAAGGACCTGGAAAATTATTTTCCAACATCATTGCACGAATTAGAATGCAGAGAATAAAGAATACTTTCAGCATAATGTTGCATAATCGATCAAATGGGCGAGAGCAATTCAAATAACTTCACATTGTTCAATGGAGTAGCGATGGGTGTACTAAAATTGGTGACAGACAGACGGGCCCAATACAGATCAATCCATTCTCACACAGACAATCGCAACACGTAAATGAACTATTCAATGTCACCGTATTAGTACATGTTTCCAATTCGAATGTGCATTCCAATACACAACACACAATTCTTTTATTCTTCTTCTTCTTTCGGGTACGGTACATCTCGCGCAGTGTGCGATGTATGTTATTGTAGCACTCTATTAGTTTCGGCAGATCTGTCTGTTGCGATAGACTCTCTTATATCGAGCGAAAGAAATAACATTCATTTAGTGGATTGAGATTGAATGCTCAACAGCAAAGACAAAGAATAGAATGTAAAGTTTAGTTTAGTAAACAATAGAAATTAAAAAAAAAGAACAAACGGATAGAAAAATTAATAACGAAAACGCTTTAAGTGCATCCAAGAATTGTGTGTGCGGTTTCAAATGTTAACCGCATCCAATGGAATTCAGCGTAGGTAAGTAAATAGTGTTCTACAATTTGTATTCCATATATACACACATTGCATTTTATAGATGGTTCAAACATAGTGACCGCAACGATGTGAAACAATAACACAATAAAAAAAATTCCAATGCAATAAAATCTCATTTTCGTCAATCGCGATTGATCTTCGATTGGCGAGAGAGAACCATTTGACTTTCGTGCAAAAAATCAATTCAAAATTGTAAAACAGATGGAGAAGAAGAAGAAAAATAAAATTAGGCGCACGACGATCGATTTGTGCACGCATAGATTTTGGATTATTCCTTCTCTCTAGCACGTCGTGTGAATGTTTTTATTGTGAATTTTTTTTTTTTCATTGTGTCATGCTCTGCTTTTTTACTATCCTCTCGCTTGCTCGTTGGTACAGATCTCGACGACTCGTGATGCCGAAGATTAGTCAAATAAATAATTTTTCTAAATCGTTTGCGATGTGTGCTGTATTAGTTTGGGCTTGGCAAATCGCATAAAATTAATCGGTCGATGCAATTCGTCTGATGCTAATATAATTTTTCTTTCTTTCTGATTATGGCGTTTAGCCGTTCATTACGTTGTTTGATTTGTTTGAAATTGCTTTGTATTCTTTTTTCTTCATTCCGAATCACTTCCCCGCTCGATGAACGGGGCCGAGTGAAACGAAGCCATTTTTGTTGTATTTTTCAAATCCAAGCAACAACACACTTGAAACAGCAACATAAAACCGAGTCGAAGGCGAAAGAAAATGAAAACGCGCGCGTCCGATCTGTTTCTCTCTCTCTCTCTCTCTCTCTCTCTCTCTTTCTGTCGCATACACTTACACACGCAGTGGTGAACAACGAGAACTCATTCGTTGTGAATGCAAACTCACTTCAAATATTTAAAACTCTATTTGCTCTAATTAATCGCATGGTTTCTTATTTTCGTTTTAATATTTTCTCTCGGCGCGCGCTCGGCACTACAATCGTACGATGTGCATTGCACTGGGCAATCTGCTCTGGCTTTGTGTGTTCTCTCGTTGTCGGCTCTTTTGTATGTCTTGATCTTTGCAATATTTAATAGAAAACTGTAGATGCTTTTAACTCGCACAAACCATTGTGCTCACATTCCGACGCGCGACCGAGGCTGTTTTTTCTCCACTGCTGAAGATTAACGGTAAATAAAAGCCACACATTTCGGCAACAAGTGTACTGCGTTTCGTTTCAGAGCAATTTTTCGTTACTGTTGTTTGTGTTGTTTGTGCTGTTGTTGCTGCTAGAGTTGACAAAAACAAAATGACTGTCAACACAATCTCATTTGTATTTTCCGTTTTGCACTCTCCGTCTCGTTCGCAGAACAAAATTATTAACGAATTGAAATCGAAAACTGAAACAAGGTAGTGCTACTGCATTTAAAGCCACGTGCACGCAACATGGACATGGAGAATTTAACGGTGACAAGATGCAAACCATTCCGTGGATTTTTGGAAATCTACGGTCATAAGAAGCCGGAATTATTGGATCATTTGGATTCGGAAATTGCTGCTTATCAGCCGCACACGAAGAAAAAGATTGCCCTTCATCCGGGCGATCTGCACCCGAATTTGGAATTTGACACCGTTTATTTGGCATTGAGTGTGGGCAAAAATAAATACCATCGATGTACGGTGCTTGAAAAACGAGCCCACAACAAAGTCACCATCGAACTGATCGACTATGGCATCGAGTACGATGTGGATGCAAGCCTTGTAAGTATAACTAACTAATTTTTCATGTAAATTCAAAATTAACTTTCGACTTGCGTCACAGAGTTGGGCTGACGGCTCACGCTCATTTTGTAAAATCAAATTTGCTATTGTTGCCGACCGGGACCCTCTCTCTCTCTCTCTCTCTCTCTCTCTCTTCCATTCAAATCAAATTAAACACCAAATGTTACGGTTTCCGACATGTCACATTCATATGTTTCGTTCGCTGGTTTCGTTGAATCGAACTATGGCATCGAAACATAATGGGCCACCCAATATCATTTCATTTGTAATCCAAAACTTGTGCGCTTTGTTTATGTTTCAAAATCTCGAACGGTTGAAGCGGCTGAATTTATTATACCAACGTAGTGATTTTCTATTAATCAGATCAATTTTTCGAGAATCAACACCAGCACCAATTCGAAGAAACAGTTTCAATAGAACCATTGACATACTTGGATCGAATTGTAGTCAGCAAGAAAATTTTGGCATTTAGAAAATAAACATGGGATTTATTTACAATCGGTTGAATGCAATCAGAGGTTTTGTTTATGAATTATTATATGTTATCTGGTTTGTTTATTCTTCTTCGTTGTTTAGTTGCTTGAACTGGATTTGATGAATCAAAAGGGTGTTTTTTTGCGTGATTTCCCGCCGATCGCTACAAAATACATATTGGCCAACTTTTTCTGCCTTTGGAAACTCAATGAACTGATTATCATCGAGTCACTGCTGAAAAATTCAGTATTGCCCATCACGAATGAACAAACGGTGAGTCCATCACGAATGAGTCACGCACATGTTTCAATCAAACTCCGAAATTGTTTGTTTAATTCAATTTCTCTCTCTCTCTCTCTCTCTCTCTCTCTCTCTCTCATCAGGATCGTGAGCATCGTTACATATCATTGAGCTGCAACGGAATTGATTTGGCGACAAAATTGATCAATTCACAAGTTGGCATGGAGATTTCATTCACCGAGCAACGAATCGAAGTGCGCAAATTAACGCAACGTTTCGATGCGTTTGCAAATAGTGCGGCCACAGCAAATGGGGCCGGATCACCGGCACGGCGTGAGAAACGTCGAAATCTTGTGGCAACTCGGCCATTGCAAGCGCCCGCTAATAATAATAGCATCACCATCACAAATCATGGCAAGCAGCTGATTCAAAGTTACATAGCACCGAAAACGATGCGTGCAAGCTTCCAACCGGACACATATCCAACCGATGTCGTCCCATTGCCTCCACCCACCGGTCGAATGCCGGCGTTTACAGCGAACGAATTGCCGCCAAATCTGTATCACCCGGTTTATGTTTCATACATTGAAAATGGTCCAAACGAATTTTACATCCAGTTGAAGAGCCAAGAGCATGTGTTGGATCGCTTGTCATCGGATCTGTCAAGTGCGCCACGTGTTCAACTCATGTCAAAAATGCCTATCAACATGACGTGCATTGGTATGGCCTGTATCGCACGATTTTCCGAAGACCAGAGTCTATATCGTGCGGTAATCCACAAAGTGCACACAAACGGTTGTCGTGTCATTTTTGTTGACTTTGGCAACTCCGAGCTGGTGCCACTTTCCGAATTATATGAAATTCCATCACATTTCCTCGAACACAAAACATTTGCAATGCCGTTCGAATTGCATGGATGCAAAGAGCTCGGTCCGATCGATGATCATTTGAAAAAGTCTTTCAGCGATTTGGTGACAAATGCTACCCTCGATCTTAAAGTCATTCCCACGACAAAGTCTACGGCACAGCAATGCGAGCTGTTCCTACCGAACGGACATAATGTACTGCATCAGTTGATGGAAAAGAAAATAGAACTGAGCTCATTCCCGAATCCACCACATCTGAAGGACGGTGACATTGTCTGTATACGTTCCGCAGTAACAGCCAAGAAATTTTTTGTGCAACGTGTCAAGGATATGCCAGCCTTTGATCGTATGATGGATGCATTGCTAGCGCATTGTCATGGTGCCCATCAAATGGTTACGTTGCCAGCGAAAGATGCGTGCTGCGCGGCTATGGTCAACGGCGATACGACCGAATGGTATCGTGTTATCGTTACAAATCAAGTGGATCGTGAACATGTTCAAGTCTATGTGGTCGACTATGGCCATGAGATGAAGTGTCATTTGTCGAATTTGCGTGAAATAACACCATATTTCTTTGAACTACCACGCCAAGCCATCGAATGCTGCTTGACTGCGTTCGAAGAAATCGTCGATCTGCCGGAATCAACGCGCGAAAAAATTGAATTGTTCATCGATGACCCGAGCGGTGAACCAATCGAGTATAGGGTATCGATGCATCGTTCATCTTCGAATTCGGTGTATGTTGTTGATTTGACCAATGATGCCAAGGAGATCAGTGTGTCACTTTCGGTGTACAAATTAGCGATGCCGCGCCGTAATTTTGGTAACAAAGCACCATCAAAACCAACGACGGAGATTGAAAAGCCACTGAGAGCCACCTCCACCGCCGCCGTCGTCGCACCAATGAATCGAGGCGCCAACAATTGGCCAAATGTGCGTGAGATCGATGGAGCTGAAACGCAAGAGCGATACAATGAAGCGATTGAACGACAAAATGAACGATTTGGCAAGCGAAATCAAAATATGGTGGAACGATTTGAACAGGCCAAACCCAGAAGCGATAATCTAACCAAATCACCGATGAACAATGGCGCCACGAGAAATTATGGAAATCGGTGAGCTATCATAGATATTCATTTCATTTCACTTTAATAACTGGTTGAAAAACTTTCAATCTTCTTTCAACAAACTTCATAATTGATTTTTTTTTGACTTTTTAATCATAAAACAAATTCACTTTCTATTTCAGACCCGAGTATGACAATCGTCGCAATGGTGACATGAATAAGAAGTAAGTTTTGTTTAAATTCATTTTATGCGCTTGAAATAATGAAACATTGCATCACATTGCGAATGAAAATCCATTTAAATGTTGATTGTGTTAATGTTTTGTGTTTTTTTTTTCAATTATTTGTCGACCCAATTTTTGTTCGTGTGTTTTGCTAAAAATGTTTGAACACAGACCGATTTTACAAAAACATATCATTCCGCGATTTAATAAACGCCCCAATCGATCAAGAAACAATCACAATGGAAAACGAATGATAGGGTAAACCAAATACAATTTATCTCAAAGCAACAATTTATTATTATCTACAACCACACACACACATTTTGGTCTTATGAAAAGAAAAATAGGATATTCGATTGGATGGCATTTTTATTTGAGGAAATAAATTAATTTTTGGTGCACTATTTTCCAAAACTTGTAAATTGGTTGAAACGTACTCATTTCGAAAAGATCAAAATATTTGGCACACCAAAAATTTCGTACACACACACACACACACACACACACACACACACAAAACTCTCATGCACGTGCGATATTCCGCACAATATTCATTTCACATTCACAATTGTTTCATTCAAATGTCTCTAGTAGTTTGTTGTATTTTGTTTGGTTACATGTTAATAATCACATACACTCATAAATTCCATCTGTTCGTTTCAAATATTTGTGTAGTCTCGATAAGAATGATAATTGGGAAAGCTGTGGGCTTGCAGAATCATCGAGTATTCATAGCACTGATTCGACAAGGTTCGTAGTGGTTTTTAGCTTAGAATATTTCACAAAATCTCACCATTTCATATTTGGGTTTTTGGTTTCACTAAGACTTAGTTTAATCGCTTTTCTTTCGATTTGAATCTAGTAAATCACCGGAAAAGATCAATAATAATAACAACAACAACCACAATAAGCCATCGATCCCGACTATAACAACGGAAGATTTTGTCGGCTTCAATCCTACGCTACCGGATTCGATACCCATTCCACTCAACTCAATAACAAAGGTGAACGTCGTTGAGTGGCATTCACCATTGGAATTTTACGTGCAACTCAAATCGATGGACAGTAAATGCGATGACATGATGTACCAAATTCAAAAGTACTATCGAAAACGTGCACCAATCCAGCATAAAGTGGCGGTAGGTTCATTGGTTCTTGTGCGCCACAAAGCGGATAATGTCATCAAACGAGCCAAAGTCATCGAATATAATGAACAACGTGACAAGTATCGTGTTCAGTTCATCGATTACGGTGCCAAAGTCGTATGTCAATTGTCCAATATGTACGAATTGGAGAAATCATTCATCAAACTGCCGGCGATGGCCATTTGTTGTACATTTGGTAATGTGATTTTGAATAAACCAGTGTTGGAAGTCCACGAAAAAGTACATCCGTACATTGATGGCATCGATGAATTTGAATGCACTGTTGTCGCTAACGTGCATGACAAACTCACTATTGAGTTGATCGCAAATGGTATAAACTTGAAGGATCTTTTGATGCGCGATCAATTTTTAACCAATTTACCCAAAGGTACGGCAATAAATTTGAAAAACATACAACTTTCACGAGAGTGACTTTATTTTTAACTTTACGTTTCGAGTACATTTGTTTTTAATTTTATGAAAAATTATTCATTTAGAAAGGATTTTTGGAAAAAAATTCATTTTTCAATTAGCTGCAAAAAAAAGCATTTGAATTAGATGACTATTCCTTTTACACGTTAAAAAATCTTTCATGATTCAATTCTTTTAATCGACAGATATTTGTTTGGAGCGTTTAGTAGGCCAAACACTCACCGTATTCATCACTGCAGCCACGGATCTGTCCCGTTTCCATGCAATGTTTTACGGCTGTGATATTGCATTCATGTGCAGCTACAAAGACTTAAGCTTAGTTAAGAAGAACCCACAATTAAATGAGCAATTCCGAGCGTACGAGAAAAAATACGTCCAAATCAAGGTGGAATCAATCGATTCTGATAATATGTAAGCCATTGTTATCTAAAATTCATTTATTGTTTACCACTTGAATCACCGGTTGATTCCTTTTTTTCCTGGTTGTTTTTAGCTTGAAGACGTCTATTTATCTGCCACACTTGGATGATGACGAAGATGTACCTGACATTTGCAACTTCCCAATCTATAGCGATGAATTCGATGGATTTGTTCCATACGTTGAACCACCCTATACCGTTTATATCCAGAGCAAACGCTTCGAACTTTCAGCAAGTGATTTGCTGGATCAACTCTATGCTGCTTATGAAAGCGATGGTATGTGGTGTTTTTTGCCTTTCCATTTTGAAAATTTAAACAATAATTTAAAAAAAAAGTCTCTTCTATATTTTCAGCATCACAAAAACTAGCGTTAAATTTCAAGCAGACTTATGCTGCATTGTCAGCAGATGGCAACGTTTACCGTTGCCAAATCGAGCAAATAAATGCGGATAACACGGTGGCTGTCCGCTGGATTGACTATGGAAACAAAGAAGTTGTTGAAAAGTCAGCAGTAAAGGCTTTGCCCGAGCAATTCAAAGCCCCAATAAGCGCTTTGGCCCAAAAAATGTTTGTTCCAATCAAATTGCTTGCTGAAAATATTTCATTGCTTGACTTGGATTGGGCTACTGAAAAGAAAGTGAAGATTCTTGGTACGCATCAATCAAACTTCATTTGTGAACTAATGTCAAACGGTAGCAGTATGATTGCCGCATTGGAAAAAGAAGGAGCAGCAACGAAGTTGAATGTTGAACAGTTCAAAGAATTGTTTGAAGTCACTGAAAAGCAACATCAATGGAATGTGCTAGAGCAATCCGTTCAAGAAGAACAGCAACCAACATCGACACAAGCCCAACAATCGGTTCAAAAAGATGTAGAGCCACAAAAACAAATCGAAGTATCGCAGCATCCGATACAAAGTAATGCAGTAGAAGAACCGGTACAAGCAGAACAGTCCACTTTAGAACAGGAACCAATTGCCGAAGAAAACAAGTCGGTGAATGAACGCATCGCAGAATCGGTTCAATCAAAGTTCGTTCAAAGGGAACTCATTTTTGTCACTCACGTCGATCATCCGAATCGATTCTACATTCAACTGAATTCGGACACTGATGAGCTCGAGTCGTTTCAACAAACACTGCAAATTGTCGGTCCACAGTTGCCGCCATTGAACAGTTTCCGTGCTGGTGTATTATGCATTGGAAAGTATACCTTCGATGATCAATGGTATCGAGCCCGGATTATTGACAGCGATAGTGAAATAACATCCATTCAATTCGTTGATTACGGTAACACCGATTCGATCACCGACAATTCACTGCTCAAATCAATCACTGACAACTCATTGATCGCAAGAGAACCATTTGCAATGGCATGCTCTTTGCCAATCGCACCGCATGGATCAAACGAATGGACCGAAGCGGCTTGCAACAAACTTCGTATGCTGACCAACGATTCACCGATGGAGTTTGAGCTAGTGAGCAAAGATAAAGACGTGAACTATGTGAAACTGTTTTTCGTGGGTGGACGCGATTTGGTGAAGGAAATGATTCAAGAAGAAGTGGCAGATCCATTGGAAATCATCAAAACGGGTGAAACGTGCTTTGTGTCACACATCAATTCGCTGGGTGACTTTTTCATTCAGGTCGATTCTGACACAGAAGTGCTTCGAAAAATCGAGCAACACCTGGCCAGTGACAATGATTCGGTGGTGTTGACGTCACCAACGGTTGGCACAATTTGCAGTGCACTATTCGATGATGGTGCATGGTATCGTGCTCGCATCTTAAATATTTTACCCGATTCAAAGTATGATGTGGAATTCCTCGACTATGGCAACACGTTCCAAACGACGGAAGTGCGATCATTGAGCCCGGAAATAACACAATTACCTCATTTGCGAAAGCGATGCTACTTGAAATTGCCCGACGATGTCGAAAACTGGAGCGACGAAGCCGAACGAAAGTTCCGCGAAATTTCTGGCGAAGGTGCATCTGAATTTAATGTGAATCTGATCAAACCGGGCAAAAAGGCATGCATTGAATTATGGTTGGGTGACCAAAATCAATCGTCTGTCTTGGGTGAGATGTGCGAAAAGAGACGCATGCCAGTGATAACGGAAGATGAACACGATGGTACGCCAAAAGAAGTCACTTCACCGCAACAGCACTCAATCAATGTTAGCGATTTTCCAAGTGGCAAACATGCATGTTGTCTTACACACGCCAATTCAATTTCCGATTTTTACATACAATTCTACTCGAAGTCAGAAGATCTGACTGCTATTCAAACGGAACTTGCAAACGCCAAAGAGTATGAAGCTCTCGAACCAACCAATGTTCCAGTCGGAACAATAGTTGCCGCACTCTACCCGGAAGGTAAAAATAAAATGATCTGATTCCAATCGAAACCATAACTTTTCATTTCTCTCTTTTTTCTAGATGACTACTTCTACCGCGCAAAGGTGCTTGAACACACACCAAACGGAACCGTTGTTATGTTCATCGATTATGGCAACACAAGTACGATTACAGAAATACGAATGCTATCCAGCATTTTGAGCACGATTGTTCCATTAGCAGCACATTGCACGTTGGCGAATGATCAATTGAAACAGTTCACACCCAGCGATGTCGCCGGATTCATGAATTTCATGTTGGAAGTGCCAGAGCCGACATTCCAAGTTGAAGCAATAAGCACAACGGGCACCAAAACCACAGTCAAGTTCTTTCGAGATGATTGTGACATTCTCGAATTTATTCAAAGTGTCGGATCACACATTGACCCCGCCGCTACGAGCGTTCTATCAGACATCATCGAACAATCGATCAACAGCACCGCCGAATGAACGATTTACACAAAATATATGCAAAAGCAATGATAAATTTTCAATATATTTAGAATATTGTCGAAATCAATAAGAAAAACCATTCAAAGTTCGATATTTTTTACACTTTTTCAAAAGAATTAAACATATTTACAAGAATAACAAAAGCAAAAAAAATCTGACGAATGTCATTGATGAGGAAAAAATGCAATGTTCATTTTATTTATTGAAACAAGGAAAACAAACAAAAAAACAACGAATGAATCGTTAAAAAATATAAATTATATTGAAAAACAAGCTGCAGTGTATTCCTTTTTCAAATCGTTTTATTCAATTTTGTTGCTTTATTCTGCTATTTTTTTAAAATCAGTTTTCAGGTATTAAAATACAATTTGCTATTATTTGTTGTTGTCTGCTTTCTTGATTTTTGTTTCTCTCTCTCTCTCTCTCACTTATCATCGTCTTGGTCTGTTACATTCTTATTTTGGTTTTATTATGTGAAATTGCGTGTCTCATTACTATTTAGGAATTTTGATTTTCCGACTCTCATCATCATTAACTATTGCTTTCCAGAACAAATGCTGTCGAATCTTCTTCTTCTTCTCAATTTTATTCAACATGACTTGAAGTTTAATTCACGATGAACCTATATACTATCAAATGCAAATATACCCAAGAAAAATAACATCGTTTTTCCAACATTCCTTGAAAATCGGCAAAGAATTTAAATCGACAACATTTCAGTGGATTTTCTAGGCTGTTTCCGTTTTTTTTTGTTATTGTTCATGGTATGTGTTTAGTTTTTTCGACAGCAGCAGTATCGGCAAACCAATGCTAACATAACGGTAAAGAACAAACTCAATCCGGCTGCGATGAACAGTAGTTTCACATAAGGTACTTCAAGTTCTTTGCCTCGATTGCAAATGGCTGGATCTTCGTCGGTTAAATACCGACCATGTTTCAGTAAATTTTCATCGATAATATCCATCATTTTGAGATTGTCACGAACATTTTGCTGTAGCGTTTCGAGTGTCGAAGTCATTGTAACATTTGGACAATTCAAAATGCCATTGCACACCAAATGTTTGGGAATACAAACGGTTGTGTTGCCTGGGCATTTGAAATCGCAATCGGAATCCTTTAGATAAGAACGCGCCAAATTGCCATCGGAATTACGAGGCAGATGAAAAAGTTCAGTCCACAGCAATCGGAATGAATTTCGACCGGGCGTACTGTCGCCGGTGTATTGAATCACAACAGGTAATGGTTCATTGTCATTATCGAGAGCGCCCAATTCGGCTGCCGACAAAATTGGTAAACCATGCGCTAAGCTGACATTTTCCGGGCAAATGACAAAGCGTGGTTCAAGTCTACCGGCTAGATAGACCTCAATGCGAGCCATTTCGCATGATTTGTCAGTAAATTCAGCTTTGTCCAAATGCATCCATAAATCACGTTCGCCAGCCACTTTCAGTTCCCAAATACACTTTTCCCGCTTTGGATGATCCGCCGTCGGCTGATAGTAATTCACTTTGTTGCGGAAAGGAAACGATAGTTCACCATCTGCCGATGGCCCAAGCGTAATCGGTCCGCACATTGGCCCATGCGCAAACTCATAATTCGCTTGAAACAATGGGCTTTGATTTTTAAAGTAACTATTCTGTGAATGTTGGCCTTGCACAATCATTTCCAAGTTCATTTGTTCGCCGGACGAAATGATGCGCACCGCTCGAGGGATGTCATCACAAAAGCAGGCCAATGGCTCTTGTGCTTTCTCCCGTTCCTCCCAAATGATGAGCTTATCAACACGTTCTTCGTGGCAACGAGTGCATGTATTCATGTTATACGGTAGATCTTTGAATGTCACCGATGTTACTTCAATGAGCACGCGGGCATACAACCGTTTATCGGTTATAAATTTATATTGACAGCGTAGATCGGTGCCGGTGGCTCGTTTAAAAATCAACGTATTCAACGGCGAACGAACGTGACCATGTGAATGTTTCCATGCATAAAACACTTCATCACAAATGGTATTCGGAATGGGTTCGCCAAACTTGGTGTTATTGAAGAAATCATAGTGTGCCCAGTAATACAATGAACTACCGCTATAGCTTCCGGTTTTGCTATCGAAACGTACATACAACGAACGACCGGTGCTGACAAAGTCAATCTTTTCCATTGGCCGTGAGAATGTGTCACAAAATGTTTTGATGATACGTGCTGGATCAGCTCGGTTTGAGTCGTAAATTGTCAGCGACTCAGCACAATCCATATCGATTTTAACGATTGGTGCCTCGATTCGATTAATTCGAAAGCTGTTCAATGTGTGGGGGGAAAAAAAGAAGAGAAAACACAAAATCATTCAGGCTATTGACTAAACAGAAAACTACATTAAAAAATTTAACTTATTAATAGTGAGAGATAGCGAGAGATTACACATTTCGCTTCATCACCGATAGAAGAATATACAAGCGCAAAATTATCCGTTCCAATTCACTAATAACGATTTCGGTGTGATTGATTTGGATTGCTGTGTGCAAAATATGCAGCCGGCAATATTGGAAAGAGGACGAAAAAGCGAATGAGCGAGCGCACAGTGACAGTGCAAGAGTGAGCGAAAAAGAGCGAAAAAAAATATGCTAAAGTAAGACAGGCACGTTTCAGTGAAATGACATGTGCTAAGAGCGAATTGTTTGCATAATGACACAATGTACTACGTTGCTTAACATCAATGATTTTGCTTCGTTACATCAAATTAAAATTTTGCATTAGTGCGCGTCCTCTTGCATGTGGAATTGTGGAAATCTATTCTGTTGAATCGTGTCAAGTTCTATTCCATTCTTTCGATGGCTCCCGTTTTTTTTTGTCGCTTTTTCCTCCTTCTTCTTCTTCTACTCACGTTTTTTTTTCTGTTGTTGTGTGAGGCATTGCAAGTCAAGCTGGTTTTCTCTCTCTCAAACTTTGTTCCTCTAAAAAAATCGTAGCACAATTCAGGTTTTTTTTTTGTGCATATGAACCAGTTCACAATTCTTTTTCCTTATATTTGATGTTGTTAACGATGTGGATAATTCATTGGATAAAAGATAATTGCTTTAGCGTTCATTTGAACTATGTTTCCTTTGTGCAACGAACTGGAGGAACGGAAAATAGTCATAAGCATGACGTTTTTTTGTGTTTAAGCGTATGTGTTTGTACATGTCGTATTTCTCATCTCTCTCCAGACCGAGAATAACAACATATAAACACAGAAAAATGGTACCATCTTTTTATTTGCAATTGAAAAAAAAAACGGCTTTCATAATATTCTTAGAGCTAATGCCATTTCTCGGGCCAAACCATTTGAATTGTGTATTTTTTGTGTGTGTGTTTGGAAATATGATGACGACAACGATGGCGATGGCGACATTCAATTTTATTTCATTTTATTCTTTACAAACCTTGGGAAGTACAAACGGACGACTTCGCCTTCGTTTCCTTGAATGTGGTAGCTGCATGTTGTATTCGGTGGGTACCAATGAGCGATGCTTAAAAATATTCCCTCTGACGCATTCGAGTCCTTCAGAGCTTCCGAACTGAGCATCCAATCGCATGCACCTGTCCGACTGCCAGCAGTATCAACATGACCCGGCCAGTTGCCAACGTTAAAATGAAATCCCGTATTCAACAAGGGTCCCGCCGGAGATGATACAAATTCCACAAACATATGCTGTGATGTGCCTGCGTTAAATACATTTTGACTCAATTTGATTGCGTTTTTTATTGAATCAAGAATGTTGAATGTTCTCTCATATTTTTTTTTTCTTTTGCTATGATTCGGAATATTTTATCAAGCAGCCGAAATAAAAACGATTGATAAAGGAAAAACGGAAATCAAGGATAACAATTTTTTAACACACTCACCGATGATGCTGTATGGAAACTTGCCAACGCCACAGAATTTACCAATCAATGGTGCATGCTCATCTCGGCCATCGTAAACGGCCAACCAATCGTACGGACAATGATTGGAGCCAGAACCAATTTCGCGCATCGGACATGTCATAATATTTTCGCATCTGCGAGAAAACCAAAAGGAAATATAAAAAAAAGAACAAAAAGAAAAAAGAGCAAGCAGAGAGAAAGTGAGAGAAAGAAAAGGAACATAAAATCAACAGTCAACCCAAATCAGTGTCATTCTGTCAACGTGAAAACTATTTTTCGCTTATTTGTCCCTAGGCGCTCTCTCTCTCAGTCTCTGTCTCTGCCAATCTTATTGAAGATACATCAAAATCAGAAAATAATGATGCCCATTTTTATATCAAGCCATCAGATTTATTTAAAGCTGCTCGGCAATAAAACGTTTAACCCTTTTTCATCAACATTTGTTTTTTTTATTTTTGGTGTGATTTGGTGTTTATTTCTCCATTGTCAATCAATTTCAATTAAAACCATGACCGAAAACGGAAAACACAAATTGACATAATAAATGTTGGACGACGGTGCGCGAACAAGCAAGAGAGTGAGAATGATGTTATTTAGATGCTTGTTCGCGAGCGTACATAGCACTTACATTGATTGACACCATTGAAATGGACACTTTTGCCGAGCGAATGGAACAGAGACTGTGTGTATGAGCGAAAGATTGATTGACTCCGTTACAAATCAACACAAACAAACACACACACGTCACACACACACATACACAAACGCATTCGCGGAGACTAACACGATTTTCTATTTTATTAACCGTCGAAATGGGCAGAGAGTGAGAGTAAGAGTGGTGAGCATATCGTATCGCAATTTGTGATTCACAAAGGCTCTATAATCAAATGATATCACGTCGACAATAAAAAAATTTCTAGTCAGAGAGTGATAGTAAGAGTGAGATTGAGATTGTGTTTTCACACTTACCGTTGACCATCGACAGAAAAGTGTTCGTTTTGCAAATACAATTTAATGAAAGGCTGGCGCGTATGCAAGCGATATCGGCAGTTCAGAGCCCTCGGGTAAAGGCCGGGATAGGCTGGCGATTGCACGTAGCACGTTTGAAGACGACAATCCCGAAATTCTCGCTCGCAATACGAACTGTAGATATATGTAAATGGCGCGCAGCGCAGCCACAAACGACAAAATACAAATCAAATCCAATCCAATGCCATGAATATGAAAGTAAAAAATTGTTTCATCTGTTTTATTCATTTTGATCCAATTGGCAAGCTGTCAATCACATTAGGCCCTTGATGAGCTCAATGATTGATATGTGCTGATATATTTCGATATGAAATTGAAATATTAGGGGTTTCCTTTGTAATTTCCATGTACAACTCACCCTTGAACCACTTCACCGCGTCGATTTGGATACAGTTCCGGATGTTGGCCGTATCGTAAATACACCTCCATTTGTTGTTCGGCCCGTGAATCGAACGAAAAGTAGGTCTAGGGAAACAGAATAATGATAATCATCATTAGCACATGTTGTGCCGTACAATTCAAACATCCAAATGCATCACATCAACATAGCCTTAACATGACGCATAACAGTGAAATATTTATCTAGTTTGTTGGAGCATTTGAGTTTACTTTACCTGATCCGTATAGTTCTCGGCAAAAAATATGATTTTTACGTAGCTCGTTTCGCTAATGAACGTTTGAGGTTGTTCTGCTTCGCCGCAAAACATGCCCGGCTCACGACGATTCGATACATCTGTTTTGGCATTTCCATCCACAATCTGCCAATCATTTTGTGATAACGAACGAACGAATGAATGGGAAAAGAAAGATAATAACAATACCATTTAGTCGAATTTTCTATTTCGAAGTACCGTCGCAGGGAATAAGTCGTTTTATTTTCGAATTCTTCAAATTGCATCAAAAATGCCATTATTCAGTTGAGATGATGCACCGTTTTTCGTTTCTTCCACCATTGCACCATTTCTCAACAATAAAAAATTTCGTTAAATTGCATGAAAATAGCTATCCAAAAGAAGATCAAAAAAGATTCTTAAGTAAATTCGTGTTCTTTTGAAACGACCTCGTTCGTTGCTATTTCGATCGAAAAGAGCTGTTCATAATGAGCCTTTTGAGTAGCTCTGTGCCAATGCGCTGGCAAGGAAAAAATGGCTGATCTCATCAAAAAAATTTCTTCGATTTGTTCAATTTGTTTGAATTTCACTAGATAATCAGAGGATGGAATCAAAGCTTGAAACAAGCAAGCGAATGAAAGAATAAAAAAATGGCATTGGAGAAAGTGAATATCTAACATTTATATCATCTATCATCGTCAACGTCATAATGATTATCGGGAGTGTGTGTATAGTATGCATTAGGGATCTCAAGCGATGACGATGATGAAGAAGAAGTTGCAAAAAATTAAAATGCGAAATGAAGGATAAGTCTTGTTTGTTTCGATACAATGGATGCAATCTCATTCGGAAAGTGCATGAGCGATTGCCAGAACAAAAGGGGCGAATTGTCTGCATAAGTGTGTTACACAAAAGCAAGCGACCATGAGAAGAGAGAGAGAGGGGGGGAGGAGTACAGCGCACGCAAAATAAAGGTTCCGGAACCGTTAAATCAAAGAATTAATGGTAATAGCAGACATACACCCAGACCTCACCCTTCTTCCGCTGCTGCTGGTGGTGCTGCTACTTTTTCTCATGCAGATTTCTGTAAATGTTCATCATTTGCCAATTATTCGCACGAGCGATTCTTTTACTCATCATCAAGATATATTCAGTCGTCAGCAAGATTAAAATCTTACAGCACCAAGAGGAAGAACAACAATGAAAAAGTGTGAGTGCAAAATTGGGAGTAGCAAGCAAGCAAGCAAGGAAGAAAGCGAACGAGCGGGAGAGAAACAAATAACTTGAGAGTCGACACACAATATACGGATTTAGTGGCGCCCATCCTTCCGACACAAATGGCATTCGACCCAGAGAGTATAGTGAATTTTCCACAAAAAATACACAGTGTTTTACAGAGGCTACAAGGTCTCTAAAATTTCTTTGCCAACAAATATAGATTGGCATTCTTAACGCTAGCGCACGTACGTGTGCACACTTTACAGGAATAAGATTAAATTGTACATTCATATCAATCTCATTAAATGTAATCGGCCGTAGTTATGAAAAATTTACGTTCAATAAATTTTATTGAAATTTTTCAAATATTTTTGCTGGAATTTTATATTTATTCCAACCAAAAAAATGCACGGTCTATTTCACTGAAGATTTTTGGTTGTTTTTTTCGAAAAAATTGTTTTATTTTAACCAAAAAAATTCACGGTCTATTTCACTGAAGATTTTTGACTGATTTTTCAAAAAAAATTATATTTATTTTAACCAAAAAATTGTTCACATAATTTTACTGAAACTTTTCGGTTTTTTTTACCAAAATGTTCTATGTAAAATAACTGAAAATCAAGTTTCAGTTAATTTAACCAAAATTTTTAAGTTAAAAAAACCGAAATCGTTTTGGTTGAAATAACCATGACTTTTCTTGATAGGGGTACTTTGATTTGTTCACAATGAACAATGATTTTTTTGTACATATCTGTGTGTTTTCTGGTTTTTATCCATGTCTTTTGCCTGCTGTCCATTTGTTTTCGTGAATGAGCGCGCCCGAAATGTGCGTGCATGAAAGAGAAAAATTGCCGTAACGCAACAATTCGATTTATTGAAATGCATGGCATTTTCCCTTTTTGTTTGTTAAATTTCGGCATAATTTTTTCGAATACTTCATTCAGAATTTGGGGAATGCGACAACAAAAACAACCAATGTGAAAGAAAAGAAAAACGATAAAATGGTTTGCATACCTGCAAATATCCGCCATCGCAGTGTGTTGCATTTAAAATGTTTCCAACTTTGAACTTTTTGAATCGAATGCGTAGCACCCAGTCACGTGGTGCACCGCGAAAGCTTCGAAATCGGTATGTACACAATAACGGTCGATTTCGATTGGCATTTGTAAGGTCCGGCGACGAAACATCCTCGTAAATTTCCACCGTTTTATTGCAATGGTCTTTAACATCGAGCACACTACCCTCTCGTGCGGCCGTACCACTGAGCACTGGACCGGATCGAATCAAACCAAACCGACCAAATGAATGGACGGGCAAACAGGCAAACAGCACAGACCGCAATTACAACAAGAGAAACATAAACAGAAAACAACAATATATATTGAAATAACGCGCCATAAACAGCACAAACAAGCAAATAATCATCGGCTTTTTTCTTTTCCACTCATGCACACAAACGCACACAATTTACCTCCGCTCCTTTTCTGTGGGAATGACTGTGTCGATGGTGCTATAATATCGTCATCACAGTACGCCAGAGCAATAAAAATGTTTAAGCTAATTAAAATCCAGTACAAATGTTTGTGTTGAGTTTTCCTCAAAGTGCTGACTTTCTGACTATTGCCACCAAACAGCCATCGAAGCATGCAACTCATCACAGTCGGTGGTGTTGTTGCTGATGATGCTCCTGTCGATGACGACGACGACGACAGTGGTGATGATGATGACACCACTATTTCTTGAAATGACATTGAAGCATTCATGGTGCAATCTTGCAGTTGAAAGTTAAAATCGAGTATTTGAACAATTGAACAATAAACAACTACGGAATCTGCACAATTGGCCGATCACTTGTATTTTGAAATCTTTCTTCAATTCGTTTGAACACAACACTATTGCACACGCCGTTTTTGTTTGTTTTAATTTTAATATCCTTGGTTATATATAATGTTTATCGGTAAATAGGTAAATGCATCAAAATTCGTTGAACTTGTAACTATATCAATGACCGTTATGAACATATACCTTAAAATTTTTGGTTTTTTATTTGGTATTTTCAACCTTCGTTGTTGAAACGTATGAAACTGCCAGCAAGAAAAATAAAAGCGCATACATTTACTGTCTACACACAACACACAACACTTTTTCTGGGATGGGAGCGCATACACAGCTCACACATCAAATACACAGCGCGTACACCCGACGATAGACCAATTATTCATCACTTGGTGCTGTACACATTCTGTCTTTGTATCACATTTCAACATATACACAATCATCAGCTGCTATTAACCAAGCAACAAACGGAAGAAATTCATTTGTATGGTTTGCACTTGATGCTGTGTTTAATCGAATGAACAGACTGTGACAAAATAATAAATCGGACCGCCGAGAAATGATCTCTAGACATCGAACGAACGAGTGAGCGAGCGAGTGAGCACGGAACCCAATCTTTGCGTGTAATGGCTCTCAAAACACACGATTTTTTCTGTGTGTATTGTAACAATTTTCAGTCAGTTCAGCAGCAACAATAGCGGTAGCGAATAAAATTGACCCGAAATTTAGTTATCATCACCAATTTCGGCGTGTTAAGTGTTCTGAATGATGTTGGCCTTTTTCAAATTTGAACGCCTCTTTCTAGTCGATTTGATTAAAGTTTTCTGTTACACTCCTCCTGTTTATTTTCAGCTTCAATATTTATGAAGACACAACCAATTTAGTAAATGAATAAAGCACTTCTAACACGTTCAAATGCGTGTGATGGTTTTGATTGAGAAATCATAGGATTTGCTGCTCTTCTTTCGGGTTTGTTTCCTCTGCAAATAATTTAGCTTTTCGCTAATTCTAATGCAAGAATGAATTACACAATAATCCGATTATCGAATTGCTGGCTTTGGTGATTTCAGCAACAAACGAACAGAAGACAAAAAAAAAATATTCAAACGGCCAGACCACGGACAGCGTGCAAACGAGCGTGTGTTTTCATTTAAAGTGACTACGTTGCAATGAAATTGGAATAATTTCGTTATAGTCAATTCGATTGTATCGCTGGAATGTGCAACAATATCTAGCTCCCGCGCGAAACCCGTTCAAACAGATACGACGCGCGTGGAATTACATGTGCAAAATTATGCGTTTGTATGTTTTTGACACTCACACGGTGTATGTGTGTGCATGTGCATATGTGCGTTATGGGAAATGTACGCAAAATGATGCTACGACTCAGACGAATGCTTTCAGCTATTTCAAATAAATTTTGAGTTCTGTTTATTTGTTCTGTTTCTGTCGTTAACATTCATTTGCCGTTTTTTTATGCTATCGTTTGCAATGGCAAAGTCACACTTCCGAAATATGTCCGTACACCAAATTCCACACAAACAATTTTTTCCCGCAAAAAAACACACACAATCGTCGAAATCACTAAAAATTAACGAACAATTCGAAACTACTGTACATTTTGATCGAGTTTTTTTTTTTAATTTTTATCGAAAGTTTGTTACACAAGTAATTTTTGTTTTCTCTTTTTTTTTGTAAATACCGATCTCCAACATTATTTCAGCAAACACAAACAACAACAAAATAAAACATTGGCTTTTCGCAAATTGAAAACATTTTTAGCACCAACTGGATAGCGTGAGCACCGCCAAATGAGTAAAAATCAAAGCGAAATCTGTTTGCAGAATGCATGTTATTCTTTTCAACTTTGGATCCTGGCCTCTTGTCAACATTTCCGTGTGTATAGTTTACGGTATTTTAAGTAACTCACACTGCAAAAAGACCAACACAAACACACACTCATACAGAGACAAATGACTCGCACAAAAAGTGGGAGAGAGAGATAAATATCTTGCTCTTGTACTAAAAGCAGCAGCAAGCAAAATACAGAGAGAACACGGGGAAACACATAAAGCAGCAGCAGCAGCATCGCACAATCACGTTATCATCTTTACGAGTGTTTTTGGATGCGGGTGCTAAAAACGGGGGAAAACCAGCGACGAGCGAGTAAGAAAAAATCTGGTAACAGGGAGCCAACGCAGCAGGGTAGAGATTGTAACAGAAAAAAACAACAACAACTTGGTTTGCATCTAGCAGGAAGATTGGCGCTCACATTACCTCTCTCTCTCTCTCTCAGTATTGTGCGTGTATGTGTGCGTGCGTGTGAGCATACACTTTTCCATCTCCAAGCCACGAACTCGCTGTCAACCACAACAGAGTAGCAGCAGCTCCAACTGGGAGCATAGTAGTGGCGCATCAGACCAACGGCATCACGAAACTAACAACCATGCGATAGAGTGAGAGAGCACCAAGCATTCGATGGCAGGCACGAGGACGATGGCAATATATCATCTAAATACTCCGAGTTATTCTTCCGTTGGCAACGGCAACGGCACAACATTAGGCGCAAAAATTTATAGTGTGGATGCTCTTTGTACACGTACCGACAAGTCTTCGCACAGCAGCAGCCCAACTGTGTGTACATGACGTTTCGTTACGCTTTTTCATTTATGATTTTTTTGCGCGTTCAATATTTCGTACTCCCTTCCTTTCTCTCACTCGCATATCGTTTTAAGGTCATTCAAAATCCATTTTAACCTACAAACCGTTCCATATTCATGCCTTTTCAAATATTTATTATATTTGGCTTGGATGCAATCAATTGCACACATACGCCTCATATTACAATCAGAGAATTTATTACGCTTTCTCAGAGCTTTTGCGCTCGTCTTTCGAGGAAAAAAAACAGAGAGAAAGGAATTCGGTGTTTGTCATGCGAATGAACGTGTTCCAGTTGCTGTGTTGCGACCGCAGGTGATACAAAGACAAAAGCACATACTCGACGATCTGAAAATAGAACGAAGAATTTTCACCTTCTTTTTTTTCCATCTCTGTGAAAATAAAACAACCGCCACACCATTAATGTTACGCATACTTTTATTTTGTAGAAAAAAATAAATTGAAAGAAACAAAACAGGGAAACGGAAATGGTACAAATGAAAAAATAAGAGCAAAATTATCCAAGCATTTTTTTTGGTTTTCCATCAAATATCATTTGCTTTCTCATTGCTTTTTTTCGTCTTTATTCTTCCTTGCTTTGTTATGTTAGTGTGTGTGTTTTTTTTCTTTGTTTGTGTTGATAGATATTTCGAATTCATTTCACTCAGCGCTTGTTGTGTTTGAACGTAAAAATTTGATTGTTAGATTGGTATCTCTTGTCTTTCAAAGTGTATTTAGTTTCTTTGTTTCTTTCACATTTCTTTTTCATTATCAATTGGTTTTTTTTTCTGTTTCATTTCACATACATAAATTCAAAAAATCGACTGAACATATTTTGCTGTTATTACTTTTACTATTCCGCTTATTTCCAGTGTTTTTTTCTCTCTCTTCATATTGTTATTTGTTTCTTGTTCATTTTGTCTTGTTAGTCTAGCATTTGTATAATAGCTGCGAACATAATACAAAAATATTCGATATATATATATAAATATAGTTGCGTTTTTTTTATTTTCACTGTTTTTTTTTGTTTGTTTCTTCTCATTTTTTTTTAAATAGCATTTTGAAATTTTAATGCGCTGGCAAAACTCATTATATTCATTTTGCGAACGACAAACAAAAAAGGACAAAAAACCGACCGAATGGAAATGAATAGAAGAACAGAAACGAGCGAACGAAAATGCTAATAAATTCTCTCAAAGACCGAATCACACTGAATATAGACAGACAGATACAGGGAGAGAGATATATGTATAGAGAGAGAGAGAGAGAGAGAGAGAGAGTGAGAAGGGAACTCTTACGAGTTTGTTTCACTTCTTTTCAATATTTTCATTTCGTCTATGGAGTGATATAGTTCTTTTTTAAACAGTTTCGTCTCGTTAAAATATTAATGTAACGAATAATGATAGTTGAAGGAAAGTCTATAATGAGTTTTGTTCTTTTTCAGTATGTTGTTATATCTTTTTTTACTGGCGCATTTTCTATCATATTCTAAATTGAAATGAGAGAAAAAGAGAAAGCGAGGTCTATTTGAGATATTTGCAATAAAAATTGTTTGCACAATAAACTCCTGTTCCATCATATTATAAGCTCTTTTGCAACCCGTTGCCTTTGCGAATGTCAATTTATGAATGTGTGAGTGTGTATGTTTGCACTACAAAATACAAAAAAAAAAAAAACGAGAACAACAGAAAAGCCACTACAACTATGGAACTAACAGAGGAGAAAAATCGTGAAATAAGTTCAGAGAAAAAAATCTGAGTCCAAAGACCCATTAGCATTATATAGCAAGCAGCCATTCATTTTCACTCTATGGCAATAAAAATATGAAAGAAAAAAAAACCGTCTTCTTCTGTCTAAAAATAAGTGTTGTAAACTGCGCCTCATAAATTTGCTGAATGTTTTTTTTTTTGTATTTCTCTCTCTCACTGTTCTAAGCACTAATTTTAGTTTACTTTGTTTTAATCATTTTTTTATTCGGATTGATTCTGTGTATCATTTCAATAAATAGTTTTGTCAAAAAAGGCTTTTAAGCATGGTGTAAGCAATCGCAGCTGCTTTGTTACTTTGCAAGATACATATACTATATAATTCATAATATATATTGTTTTTGTTTTTTTTTTAATCGCATTTTCTTTAGCTTAAAGTGTAATTTTTAATTATTTTCTCATTACGTAATCTGTTTCGTTTTCATTTTTTTTCTTGTTTAAATAATTTACTTTTAAATGCCTAAATACATATATATAATACTTGTTTTGTTTTTTGTTTTTTCTTTCATTTAATTACTTAGCGTTTTTGTTATTCAGCCATTTCATTGGCCGGCGAACGAACATTTGGTGTGTAGATTCGAAAACTTGTTTTTTTTACTTGATATATTCATTTTGTAAAGCAAAACGACTCCGACTTTGGTTAATAATTCAAATGGTTGCTTCATTTATTTGATGAAATAGCTTAAATGCATGTGATTTTATTCATTCTCTCTTATGATCTAAAATTAAATGTTGAAGAAGGCGATTTCGAATGTAAAATGACTAGAGAAAATTGCAATTGTATTTCCAATTTAGAATAATCTCAAGCCAATTTCATTTTGAGGGAATATTTTGGTTTTTTTTTTTGTGTTAAGGGGAATAAAGAAATAAATTGTAACACAGCATTTGGATTCGGAAAGTGGAGAGGAAATTCATGAAAATTGGCTCTAGCGAATGATAGTGAGACATATGGATTTCGAATCAATGATATTATATATTTTGTCTATGTGACCATTTAGTTGTTACTAGTTGATGATTGTAATACTTTCTTTGGTAGCTGGTGAGTGAGTGAATGATTTGCACATCTTCTTTTTACTTTTTCATGTTGATTTTAACCTTAAACTCTTCTATTCGGTTATACAATGCACGGTGAAGATAATATTGTGTTTTGCACCGCCGCTTGGTTCACTTAAATCGGTTGGCAGCTGTTTCCTCTTCCACTTTTTTCTGCCTCTTAATATAGTGAGTAATACGGTTTGAGATGCAACTTTTTTCTAATAATTTAAATAAACATTTTTTTTTGGTATATCTCTTTCTCTATACATGACTTTACAAGTGAATTTAGTAGTAAGGATACAATTTCTGGCCCCCATCATCAACTTTTAGTGTACATTCATAAATTTAAATTGAGACACCCAGTAAATGAATTTCAAATGCTATACGCGTTTTTTTTTACTCTACGATCAAATATTTGTAGAGAACCACTTTTCCATGGTGCTATTTTCAGCAGAGTTTTTCTTTTTGTAAATCTGAATTTCAGACTCTCCATCTCAATCGAAAACTCAAGTAGTAGCAATTGACTATAAACAGAAAAATGTTGGATTTTTTTAAAATTAAGAAATTAAATACGAAAAAAGAATTGACACACAAAAAACGGTGAATCTAAACGTAAGAACTTTGTTCGAGCATTCTTGAAGATGAGTGTTTGCGTAAAGTTCATAAAGATAAATCTTAACTTTTATTTTGAAGCCAAAAAAACTCCATTTTTGTTACTTTGAAAAATTGAATGTTTTTGCTCGAAAAAATAAATTGATGAATGAAAAATTTTGTCTAAAAACAAATGAAAGCTCTTTTTTTTTTTAATTCGGAATGTTTCACTTGAAAACATATTTGCACAGAATTTTAAAAAAGTTCACATTGCGATGAACATGTGTGAATGTGATGACGATGTGTGATATGTAGCGCACAACGATGTGAGAAAACGTAATAGAAATAGTATAAACACAGGAAATGGATAAATCAAAACAACGACTCACTAACTTGAAAAAATGTCAACTAAAACGTAAATAAAGCGCTCATCTAGTCATTGAATGTCCATATACTTATGAATGGAGTGGATGTGTATGGATTTGGTTTGTGTGATTTCCATAGATGTATTGCTAAATTCGCTTTTGAAAGAACAATATTCGCGGTTGAGTGAATGTGAATACATTGTTTTTGCATTTGTTTAGAAACATTTTCATAATGATTATTACCTCTTACTGAATACGATTATATTCAAGAGTGTGTTTGTGTGTGTATGTATGTGTGTAGTTTCCTCATCTTCTTTTTCTGGTTAATGAACAAAACAACGATGCACTAATTAAGCCTACATTTGCAAAAGCGTCGATAGCAACATTATTTTTGTTTTATTTTCAATTTGTTTGAATATCAATTTGTATATTTGTTGTTGACTTATGACATATTCATTGGTATTCGTTTTTTTTGTTGTTGTTTGTCTTGTCTCTTGTTCGTCTTCTTTGGTTTTCACTGTGTTTGTAATTCTCATTGATGAGCGCAAATCGAATTCGATTCAAACATGTATTAAAATAAAATCTGCTAAATTTTTCGCTATAGATTTTGTTTTTGTATGTACACCTAATGAAAAAAAGAACACATTTCAAATAGCACTAAGCACATTTAAATAGGTTAGGATTTGTTTTTCTTTCTTTCTTCGTCTGTCATAACGTATTGATATCTTTTCTTCTTATTATTCTTTTTCTTTGTCTTCAACTTATTTGGTAAATGTGGTTTTTTAGTTATTTGCAGAAATTGAGTGCGGCTCTCCTGGTTCTAATCTCCCCTTTGCTTGAATCTTCCTGCTGGAATGTCGTCAGTGGTACTGTGTGTACATATATATATATATATATATATATGCGTTTGTGGTATGTTGAAGCAATTATTTATTCTCTGAGTGATGTATCGGCTGTCCTTTATGTGTGAGCACTCTATGTTCGTAGATCACTTTTAGTTAAGGACTACGATAGTCAAATATTCGCTTATTTGTTAATGGTGATTGAAGATGACGATGAGGTATGATTTCTCTCTCTGCTGGCAGCGGCCACAGCTCCTGAAATGCAAACAAAGGCCGATAGCACAATTAGTACATGACATATTGAGGGGACACTCCATAGTGTTGCGAAACAAAATAATGTGCAAAGCTAAATGAATTTTTCGTTTCGATTTGCTTGAATTTTATTATCCATTACAACGAGAGAGTATAGAGGGAAATTCAGTTTTCCTTTATTTATTTTAGTTCTCAAAACGATCTACTCTATTTTTTTTATATAGGTGGATGTTTATGAATGAAGCTTACACTTGGAATTTTGGCCATCAAATGCACAATAATTTTGTTTGACTTTTTTTATTGTGTTTCATTTCAGAGAGTATTTGGTTTGATTTTTTTGTGTGTGTAGTTAGTACTGTGATGGTTGGTTTTTTTGAATTATGTTTTTCTTATTTAGATGTGATTCGATGCAAATACCTGCAGAGATTTGGCTCGTTCTCAGGAATTAGTGCGATCTTTCTTATTCAATGATAATGTATTCATGAGATTTTTAATTGTCGCTCCGATACCTTTGTTTGGTGTTGTTGAATCGCTTGAGAGCCGACTTTCGGGATGCGCATCCAAGCACTTCTGATAGCGCAACTATTTCCATGGAATTGAACGAGAGACAAGAGGAGAGAGAGAGAGAGAAATACATGCGTTAATATTTTCTAAATATAGCACCATTTTACAACGTGCTTTTTTTCTTCTTCAATTTTCCGCCTGCAAACATATATCCAGAGAACGACTGTAACATTCACCTTACACGCTGCTTCAATTGTTTTGCACAGAGCTCCGCTCGATGGTTCGCACATGAATACGTGGCATACGAATTTATCTTGTGCCGTGTGCATAATGAATGCACAATTTTTTACATTTTTGCCAATGCCCAGAAAACTCAAATACCGTACTCGACATTCAGCTATTAATCTATCATCCTGTTGCAGCAGAAAAAAAAGAAACGGTAAGAGCGACAGAAAGAGAGCGCAACGCATTGATTAATGGATTTCTAATCGAGTGTGTAATTTTTAAATGCGTTTTCATATACAATACCTCTGAGCTATTTATGCTAATCATGCTCGGTGCCACGGCGACATTCACATTTTCCCATTGTTCCATTTTTGATTCACCGTACACCATGACATCGATGGCTGCATTCAGCGTATCCATACCGGTCGGTTGATTTACTTCCGTTGAGCCCAAATACTGGGCTTTCAACACTTTTTTTGGCTCTTCCATTGGCGTCGGAAACGATTGCGCTAATGAATAAAAAAACAAAACCAAATTAATGCCATTTTATTATGCACATTCAATTTGGCGTGTGTTTGTATCGCATTGTTGTGTGTTGTTGCGGTAAAGAATTTTCCGAATGCATGCATCGAATCGAATCAAGATATTTGTATCATCATCAACACATACACACACAAATACACAGAAGAGTTTAACTTACCATGTCTAGCCCATCGTCGATTCTCGGTTGGCAAATCGGTTGGTCGTGTAGCGCAGCGTGATTCGTTTGCATGCATGCTACCACTGTTCGAGTCTATTTGCAAGGATCGTTCAATCATTATTCGCTTGCAGATATCACTAAACGAGCAAAAGAGAGAGAAAAAGAGATGAAAAATCATCATGCAAATTCATTTTTCCATTTCATTCACTTCTTTCTTCCACTCTGTCTTTTTACGATATTGTGCAAGCTTAAATGGATTATTACCGTAATGTGTTTGCAATGGTTCTGGCAGCCGTATCACAACGAAATACATGACACATATGAATCCGTGTTAAACGATCCCGAGCCACATATGCGAAATCCCTGCAAAAATGAACATTATCATAAATGAACCAAATCAACATCAAAAAATCAAATCATGTCGATGCATTAAATGCTCTCGTTCAATTTTCTATTGACTTTGTGTCTTTTTTGATGTTTTAAATATGGACGTGGGTAGTACGGGACTTGAACGAGGCGAATCATTTTATTTCATTTTATGAAATAGTAAACATAAATTCGCATTTGCAATCTAATGTAAAGTGGCTATTTGGATGGATGGAAATGGCTGCCAACGAAATAGCTTCAAAAACGATTGTTTTGTTCATAGACCAAACTAAATTACCATTCACTAGATATTTCGAATTGTATGGAAGCAGCATGCGAGAAAGAGAGAAAAAAACACAATATTCCAAATGAAATGTTGCTATACGTAATATTTTTGTTGTTCTTTTTTTATGGAGCGAACTGTTGTGTGCATTTTAAATGAATTTAGTTAAGCATAGAAGCAAAACATAACAACAATGGATCGTAATCCTTACCGTCCATTATCGCGTCCAACACCCCACACCCGAATCGTGTGGATTGGTTGAGTATTTAGTATTGTCAAATTTTCTGGGTCTATTAGTTTTAAAGCACCTTCATCTAAATCCATGAATAAGTCTTTGCCCTGTACAATAGAGAGAGAGAGAGAAAGAGAGATAAACGGAATAAATTCAAAACAAAGCTTCGTTTAAAATTTGATTTATATCAAACTTACATCTCCCCATCTGCCAACGACATCGAGCAAATCGTTACGTCCAAGCGATAGGTCAACGATGCATTTATTGACGGCCTTTGATGAGCGCTCTGGTGTTAAATCTTCTTCGGCTATTTCAACCCAACCCAGTGATCTGACGGCAAACCTTATGGGACGGTCTGAGTCCGATTTCAATGGATAACTCCTTCGTCTGAAATTTGTGTTCGATTTTCATTTCATTTGAATAAATGCGTGGTTTCACTCTATCTGCCACACACACAGCGACAGCACGTGTGTGCTCCAAAAGAAATAAATAAATACATTACAATGAAATGGATTTGCTTACTTTAAAACTAAGTCTTCTCTACGGCGTCTCTCTTCGTCAAAATCCAATGCAGAGCTTGTATTACTTCGAGTGACTGATAAGCTTTGTGTTTCCTGAAAACCAACCAAAATTTTCGCATTAAAGGCGGTTTGATACGATTGTCTCTTCGTTCTCCATTTCTTATTCGCATTCTCCCTTTCGAATGAACAGAGAGCGAGTTCAATGTAATGCGAATCAACAAAATAAAATACCTGTGTTCGTACATTAAATCCCATGCCAGAGTTGTGATATTGTGAATATGGGCTAAATTTGGTTATCACCGATGATGTGGCTTGCATGTGCAGCAACGACGGTGACTGATTCAAGCCAGACGATGGTGTTTTTATGTCGCCGGCTTGTTGTGGTACGGGCTCTTTGGGAAATAGAGGCGGTTCACGTTGTATTGTGCCAGACTTTATGTGCCAATAATACGGGCCATCATTGTCTTCATGCTTTTCCCATCCGAATGGTAAATCATTGTTTGCATCTTTGTCTTCGATCGTTTCGCTCGCATGTTTATTATCGCATTCATCTTTGTCTTCTTCATCCGATGCCACTTCATACACTTTACTATCATTTTTATCATTGGTGACAATGGCACTGGTTGCCGTTTTTGCGGCGGCTGATCGCTTGTTTGGCAGCGCATACAAATCGTCCGCATTCAAATCACCCGAAACGTGTTTGATTTTTGCATGTGTATTCTCATCCGATAAAATGTTACTGTCGGCATTGGATTTTGGATCCTGTTTCTCCGGCACCTGATCGCTTTTTCGTTTCAGCTCCGAAGGAGATTGAGCATCCAGAATGCTCTCTTTCTCAGGCGTGCTACAACAAAAACGAGAATAACAAAGACACATACACATTGAATTATAATACGAAAATTACATGATTGCAACTGATTCGATTCGTGTGAAATCAGCGCCAAGCATGATAACGAGACGTTGAGCCTCGTCTCGCCCTCGCTCTCTCCATCTCTTGTTGGAAAATTACCTGTGAAAATGCTCCTTTAGATCGACACCCATTGAACCAATATCAAGACGTGCGTAGTCTTTACGATTGCTAACAATATGCGATTTTCCAGTCGTACGAATTGTATTCTGTTGCTGAAGCTCGGATAATATCTCTTCGTATAAATGTGAATTGCTTTCTATGCGCTGGGGATCCATGTGATAATTCGGGTTTTCATAACTCAATAAACCATTCTCTGCAAATGAAATCATAAGAAATAACATTCCATTTTAATACATTTTTATTTGATTACTGTGCTGCCACTGTAAAATGGCTGTATTTTTTTATTGCTCATTTTCCGTGTGTGCTAGTGTGCAGGTAAAACCGCAACCAATGTTATGCGCTTTTATTGTAAAGCGGTTTCATTCGCTGTTTGACAGCGACAATGGTGAGCTTAATGGGTTAATTGTTTTACATAGCTAATGTCGGTGGTTGTATAACGGGACAAAAAAGAAAGACATACACAAATCTCTTTTTCTCTTTCCCTCTGGCTCGCATACACAACGGGTGAAATCATTCTTTTGCGTAAAACTCTTATGCCTCATGGACTCACTCTCTTTCATTTACAATATAGTCTGCACGAATAATAGATGAATTTTTCACGAAAATAAAATTAAAACAAAACAACACAACATGAACAAAAAAATAAAAGCAGAAAACCTGCGACGCGAATATATGCACGTCGGCTCGGTTTCAGGCGAAAATAATATAGAGTCACACTCATCGCGGCGGGCACAGAGTCAGAACGACTGGCGCCTCATATAAATAAAATTTCATTTTCTTTCTCATTCCAATCCAACATTTTTGTTCGACTTGCTGCAATTGCCATCGTCGGTTCTCTTTTGCAATTCGCTTTTTTTTCCATTTTTCCCACACCATTACATTGGCTGACTCGCCGCCATCATTGCTCCGACTACTCCGTCGACGACGTTACTGTGTGTTGCATGCCATAGCCGTCTATTTGATGATTTGATCGGACTGACTGTGTGCAGCCGGTTTCCGCTTTTGCCGGGTGTAATCCCATCCGTTTGCACAAGAAGGTATGTTTCTTTTTATTAGAGCCACCACCACCACCATAACACCACGCTCACTGTCATCGCCATCAACGTTGTAGCAAGCTTAGTAGCCGTGCCTAGAATCCAATGCAATGGCAAGTTCAATTTAATGCAAACCTGATTTGGTTAGCATTTTCTCTTAATTCGATGTAAAAGTTTTCAACATTCTCTCGCTCTCTAATACACACATACATACAGAGGCACGCACACACCATTTTCATCGCAATAAATATTGATGTGCACATATCGCTTTTGATAAAGCGTTTTAACGAAGATGAAATGTGGCAATATCACTTGAACTTGGCATGAGATTGATGACTTCAAAAGATACACTTCAACAAAATCAAATTACACGTAGTTTGTCTCTCCCTCTCTCTCTCTCTCTCAGTCTCTGTGTGTCTCTCGAAAAATCCAACGATTTCTTATTCGAATCGATACACGGGCTGCAAAGAGAGTGTGAACTATGACAGTGTCAATTTTGCGACAATGTGAGAAATAGCGGAGCAAGTGAGCAAGGGCGTTACGCTGTCGAACGTCACGACTATGTAGCGGTAGTTCGTGTTTGCATTTAGCACTTTTGTCAATTATTAAACCGACATTTCATTTCAAGGACCCGAACTGAGTGATGATTCACGAATTCATTTTTTATTTATACAAAAATCGATTTTGCATTCGATACACCGATCCGTTCCATCGTTTCGATTCCGAAAAAAAAAATTCCATTGCTTTTCATTTCGAGCGAATTGAATTCGTACAACAACAGCAACAGCAACAGCACGAGCTATACCAAAAGCACCAGCCAGCATATTCGTCATATTAAAATGAATCATTTAATCGGTACTTTCATTGAAATTCATATTAAGCATAGAGCTAATTTGGGAGCGAAACAAGCGCCAAAAACAATAAAAGCACTTTGGCACTCAACACCGAAAATGGTTATAAGTTCACAGTATAAAATGCAATTGGGATATGGAAAACAACAACAACAACACCACCACCATCTTTGTCATCCATATGCAAACGGTTATATTCGGTGGGATATTGTGAATTGCCATATAACTCGCTGCAAATTCTCTGCCCGGAATATTTTAAGAAATACGGAAATACGGTAAAAGCAAATGACAACCGAAAAATGTAATGAGAATACGCTTTCCTTTTGTGTATTATTTATCTCTGTGTTTGTTGGTTCGTGAGAAAATGCGTCGCCCCGACGCGAAAAGACAAGCTCCTCCGAAAACATGAAGGAAGATATTGTCAAAAAAGGAAAAAAAAGCGCCAGAAACCAGAATAGAAGCATAGAGCATCATCTATTGACATGTTGAAAACGGCAACATTATAAAGAATATTCCTTGCGCTTCGACTACTTGTCTTGCATAATAATAAGCGATATGCGAACGTTTCGGCTCCTTTACACATTGATCTGTACATAAACATATTATTGATTGCAAATGTTATTTTCAAATGACTTGTGCATGCTAAGAGCGCGCACATGTATCTTGCTCCCACTACCGCTCTCCCCTCATCTCTCTCTCTCTCTCTCTCTCTCTCTCTCTCTCTCTCTATCTATCGTTGCTTCGACATTCCAGAAATGCGAAATATGCACACTAATACCAGTTGGCCATAAAGGGCCATCGGAATCGAGAAAAAAAGGAAGAAAAAGAGAAAAATGACTAAAATAAATGATCTCAATAAGAAAGTTTTGCCCTTATTTTCTCTTCTGCTGCTGCTTCTTCGGTGCTTATTTTTTGGATGCGGCACATTTGCGGGGAAAAAAATGTTTGAACGACGATGATATGTTCGGTTTTGCCTCTATCGCCCATTTCAGTCACGCTAATAATTTCCGAATCGGAACACAGAGGTCAAATAAGTGGTATTACGTTCAGGAGAGAAAAAATGCGAAAATCCGAACAGAACCAGAAAAAAAAGCCAAATCCAACTACGACATGGAAATTTGTAAGGCTGATCTTTCTTTTCTTCTCATATTTTCTGTTTCATCGTATTTCGAATGTTATTGAAAGTGGGCAAAAAATTACGGTAAAGTTGTCAAATAGTTCAGTAGTCGATTGTTAATGCCCATTGTGTTAAAATGATGGATTTTCCACTTCGTTTGCATACTTTATCTTTTGATATTTGAGATGTGTTCGCCCGGCTGCTATTCTGGATCCGGCACAGCCAGCAGCAAAAACGAGGTGGGAGGTAGAGAAGAAGAGACGGAGAGAGTGAGAATAAAGAAAAAAAATTCTAAATTTGATTTTGTAAGGCGATAGGTCGATTATGGCTGCATTAGTCATTCAATTTACGACGGTGCGACTGAGGGAGTCGCCTTTGTGATTCTTCCGATTTATCACGTTAATCGTATGTTACAGTAAAACCTGTCAATAACGGAACCTGGGAATAGTGGAAAAAAAAATTTGGCCGTTGAGCTCTCCCATACAAATTGACCTGTTAATAACGGAAAACTCAAACTCCGAATAGTGGAAAAAAAATTCTTCACGAAAAAAAATTTTTTGTCTTTTTTTTTCGTGTTTTTTCAATTTAAAACTATATTTTTTTCTTTATCAAAACATAAAAATCCTGCAGTACAATGTACATTACATTGATTTCAGTATCATGTTTTACTTTCGCCTGCCAAAATCATTGCTTATTTCATGCAAATAAATTTTTGGCGCTCCCAATAAAATACATCCACTCGATTGGCGCGTGCAATTCAGTATATTTACAGTAAGTTTGGAAATCATTGTTTCGTTGCGTGAAATGCAGAATTTATCGCCGCAAATTTGGCAGTGCGAAAAACGAGTAACATTTACTTTCTCATTTTGAGTCACTATTTAGACTGCTTGATTGTTTTAAATAATAATGTTTGTCATTCAATGTTTTTTTTTCATTTTTCGTTCTTTCCTTCATTCATTTTATGAAAAATACTTTTATTTCAGTATTTCCTTCTCACGCAACGTGTGCTTCTCTGCCATAAGAACCAATGTATTTGTCGTGACAGTGAATAGCGGTGGCGCCTAAATAGAATCTGCGGCAACTTTAGGAACTATCAATACTTCTTGTTGTCGCGAAATTCGTGAGAACAACAAAAAGTATTGATAGTTCTTAAAAATGCCGCAAATTGCTAATACATCTTATTTAGGCGCCACCGCTATCTTGTGCCGGCGAAAAGCATAGGTTGTTCTCACGTTTATTATATCATTTGATTTGATCATTAAATACCCATAAAAAAGTATGCTTTGGTTTTTTTTGTTTCTTTTTACACTCAATAATGGAAAATCATGTTTAGTTCGACTCAAAAACCTCTCAATAACGGAACCTTTGAATAGTGGAATTCTTGTCAATAGTGGAAAAAAAAATTTCCCCATTGGATTCCGTTATTGACAGGTTTTACTGTATCAATTTTATCACTATGTCCAAACACACACCATCGACAAAACAACGAGCTAAAACTTTAACTTCTGTCGTAATATACCAACTGTGACTTACACTGCCTTGTGTGTGTTTGAATGTTTGTGTACGGCATGTGATGTTGCTCCAACATTAAAGATTAACCCTCTAATGCATTCATTTTTCCCAGGGCTGGGAGTACTGTAACTTGGTTCATTTTTGGCCATAGATATTTAAAAAAATATTCATAATCCTAGATTCCTCATGGTTCAGTCAGGCAATGCGATTGACATAAATCAGAGAACAATCAAATCCATTGTTTAAAAGTGTCAAAAATGTGTCTAATTTGAAGTTCGAATAATTTATTTTGTCAAATTTTTGTTTTTGCACACATTTTTGTTTATAACTTTACAATTAGACTACATAGACAAATATTGCCACAGACAAAAATAAAGAGAAAACATCCGATGTACGGTTTATATTCTACAGGCATTCAAATGTTTCCCGTCTAGAGGCGGTTGTATGCATTAGAGGGTTAACATGGATCAAATATGTGACTGGCGAGTGTGTGTGCGCTTGTTGCAAGGTGAGTATTGAGCGAATCCTTGGAATTGCACTCGGTCTAAACGATGGCCCAAGTATTTATAGTTGAGTATTGCATGAACTTTTATAAATTGTGCATAAATTGGCATCAGCTACCAAGAAATCTAGGCTTGTGTTGGTATACGACTGTGGATTGGTATGGCAATAAAGGAAAGTCAATTATAATTGTTGATGCATTATGAGCTCAATGTGTGATAGTTCGAATGGAACGTTGAAAAATACACGGGTAAAATCATGACTCATGAGCATGGCTTGAAACATCATTTGCCATAAAATCAATATATGTATTGCCAGTAGTGTGTCGGAATGGCTGAATGGGCATGGGCACTTGGGCAGGTACAATCTGTAAAAACAATCATTGAATTGGTCGCACCGCATTCGTCCAATCCCCAGCGAACCCCGAGTGAAGACAACAACAACAACAGCAGCAGTTTCAATTGCATCGACATGCAACTTCAATTGTTATTTCAATTCAATGGTTTCGTTTCCAAGGAAAATTAATTTGATTTTCTCTCTCTCCCCCGCTCGCTAATTATAAATGGCAACCAGCAAGTACGAGTAGATTTGTCATTGACTGATGTCAATGATATTTGACGAGGCGGCCATTGTCAATGCCTATCCAAGCCACATCGAAGTCACATGATCGACACTTAATTTCAACTATTTGTATTCTGCGATTCAAATCGCAAGCGCTTAACAATTGTAAATGAAATATTCTTCGATCGATGTGAACGATAAAATACAATAGAAATCGTGTTCTTGAACGACAACGCTTGCTTATTTTCTGATTGTAATGCCATGTCCAATGGAAATAGCTCCAACCAAACGGAGAGAGAGATTGCGTTTTTTAGTTGCAAACATTTACCTTATCGCTATGGATAGCCTCTCACGTTTTGCAAATACAACGGTATAAATCATGAATGCTTTTCATACTACTGCGTATCTCGCTATCGTCGGCAAAGGAAGCGAAAACGGAATGGTACAAAAACTGAAGGAGAATGAGTTTTCATCGTCGACGAACTTGATAATCGTTGTTCTTAATGAGTTTGTAAAATAGATTTTTAATTCAACGACCATAAACATTTGAAAAAAAAAAACAGTTGTGTGCGAAGAAAATGGGCGAGCAGGCTTACAAACAAATGTCTGGAGCAGTTTTACTTGATTGTTTTCAGACTGTTAAAAACTCATTTGTATTGTTTGTTGAAGAAGCCGAGACGTTTGTTTCCATTTTGTCCATTTAGAAATGGGCCAAACGGCTGACAGAGACAGCGATAAAAACATCGGGTTTTAATTTTATGTGGAAAAATGAAACATTCATTGGGCACAGCAATATATACATGTAACATCCTGGGGGCAAGACACGGTATCAATTTGTCCTTATTCAACTATTTTGAACGATTTTTCCATTGTTTCTTCTAAATCCATAAGTTTTTGCTAATTTTTTAGTTTTTTCTTCCACACATTTAGTATTACCAATGCATTCCTTATGGAGATTTTTGTTTTGTTTATTTATTGTTGTTTGTAAACAAATCTGCCTATCTTTTTGCATTGTCTCTGTGTATTTCTTATGGACATATACTATGTACAGTGCAATGCGTTGATATAGGCAGACTTGTTGACAAATAACGGTAAATAAACAAAACAACCTCATAACCCATAAGGAAACGTATTGGCAATGCTCAATGTATGGAACAAAAGAGTTTCAGTCTCTCTAATTTCTGCTAATTTTGCTATTTTTAAACGAAATATCACTATTTTTTTAATCGTGTCTGTCCCCTAGGTAACATCCGAAAGGAAAATGGCCCATCAAAACAGTTAAAAAAAATATAGAGACGTATAGAATCAGCTTTGCCGAATTTGTCGCATGCAGCATATCAATAAAATGAGATGTTGACGTTTTATGGTCCGAAACCAACAAACATGAAAATACACACAGGGAGAGAGGGAGAGAGAAGGGGTGGAGAAACAAAACGAAAATAAAGAAGAAGATGGAGGAGGACAAAACCACTAAAACAACAAATAATAATACAAATATCTACAACAAGACGTAACATCATTTCGATGGGCACGTTTTGCATGTACTCACACTCGGACGTTTGCGAAAGGACAACAAACAAACATACATACACACACGCACACACACACACACACACACGCACAGACACACACACACAGCGTGCACAGTGCACACGGTTATTTGTGTTTATTTTTTATTTATGAAGATCCAATAAATGTAATAAAGTCACGCACCATATTGTTTTCACATAGTTCTCTAATATTAATATATGTGAGTATGCTGTATGTGCATTATATTTTGGTTCGTTATTATTGAAATGTGGAACATAAAGCGAGCGGAAGAGAAATATATGTAGAGAAAGAGAAAGAGAGAGAGAGAGCGTGTGAGAAAGAGGAACGAAATGGAGTAAACGGCAGAGAAACACGAAAAAAGACAGGAAAAAAAAATTGTGTGTGCTGTTTCGACTACAGCAAAATGATTATAGAAAAAGCGTTTTGCTGGAAGCAACAAATAATTTACGCGCGACAAAAGCTCAAGTACACAACGGTAACATCGCAGAAACCGAAGCGACAGCACCATCAAACTATACAGGGAGAAAAAGTGTGCTAAAACAAAGGGAAATGGTTCGTATCTATATTTGAGCACTCATCGTGTACGTACACTTCGATATGTGTAGACAATTCTTGCGTGTGAAATGATTTGATTATCGCGCGCATATCTGTGTTTTCGCTTGGTAGAAAACCCAAAGAGAAAGCGAAAGAGGACATCTATTTTTCGTTTGTTTGCGTACGGTATTCAATTTGGATTTACCATACGTTTCGTGCGTGGATCAAAAGCGCGCGCACATCATCGTTAGTGCGCACTCATGTTGTGGGTGAAAAGTATAAGAGGTGTGTGTGTGTGTGTGTGTGTATGTGTGTGTTTTCAATAAGAGATGTTCTTGTTTCGTACGTCTTCTTTTTCCTTGTTCCGGAGCTGCAGAATACAGTCACTCTACTCGATGGGAACAGTAGAATGGTTCCGTTTACAATTGCTTCGTTTTTCTGCTACACCGAGAATGGATAACAAATGGAACAGGCAAAAATATTGTACTACACTTTTAAGCACTTTCAAGTGTATTTTTGCAGTTTTGTCGCCGTTCCCTCTATCTCATCTTCTCATCCACTTGCGCCTCTCATTTTATTACATTTCCACTTTGCCGCTTGACTATATTTCCGCCTTTTAAACAGAAAAAAAAAACGCAATGGCATCACAGACATCGTAACGCATATTCTGCCGGTAAAAAACGCGTATCAACGTTAACAATATGATACACGTTATATAATTTCATTTAATTCCCTTCGTTATCAATGCTATACGTGAGGCAGCTCATCTAGTTCATTCTCCTTGTTTAGTCCTTATTTTTCGTCGCATTCTATCCCTTGTCGTCCTCAATTGGTCGTTAAATAAATAAATATAAATAAATTGATTCGATTCACCAGCACAAAGTGTTACAATCAGCTTTGGCTACTATTCGCACTCGCTCACGCTTACGTTTATTCGTGAACATTCGCAAAATGGCTGAGAGCGAGAATCAGAAGACATTATTTTCATTACAATTGAAACCAAGAATGAGTGTTCTTTGGTCATTTTACTGATGACACAGCGTGCGACATGCCGAATGAATTACCGCAATCAAAATCACAAAGTCGTGAATGGATAGCAGTAGTAGCTATGCAATGTACGCTGCAATGCAAAAAAAACGTTTTATCGTCACACAGCCATGCATCACTCGTTGTATCACAACTAATTGAATTTCGTGTCTGTTGGAATACAACAATGTCAAAACAAAAAAAAACACTTGAAAAATTTATGAAAAAAAAACATAACATAGGAAAAAAAAGAGACACCATCAACTAAATGCTCATTTACATCCCGTTCGCGTTGCTACAAAAGTTTACTCGATGGATGGAAATGTGATCGCGAGTAAAAAGGAGAGGGAGACACAGAGCGCGTACAACATAGCACAACAAACAATTAAAAATGACACTGACACAAAATGCTACGTGGACTTGAGCATTTGTTTGGCTGTCCGTCTGAGTGACTTTATTGAAATATCATTCCTTATGCACAGACGCAATGGATACGTATCTTTTTGTTATTGTTATTGTTGTTTTGGATCAACGGTGTAATGTGAATATGCATGAACGATGGACAAACAGTCCAATTGGAATTTAAGAGCAGTCATCCAGAAATGGCACCTATTTCCACGTTCCATGAACGACAGCAGCAGTAATAGAAAGCTTTTTTCAATTGCACCGCAGTTTGTGGCCGCACGGTTCTTAAATGGCAAAATTTTCATCGATCCTTAACATCAACGTTCCCCTCGCTAACAATTTTTTTTCCTGTCGTGGTCTTTGTTTATTCACATCGGTGCGTGTCTTTCGCCTTATCATTCCAATTTTCATGTAAAACACATTCTCATTTCGGGCTATGACTCTATTTTCGGAATGAGCCAAAGCACGCTGATTCGTGAAGCTTGATGTAGTATATGTTCGTGCATAAACACAAACACAGAGAGAGAGAGAGACAAACGGAAGACCAAGTATATACTTATACATACCTAAATATATGTCATCATCGTCAATGTTCTGCTGATTGGCGAGTGTAGCGAGAGTTGCCATTGCTTTGCACAATTCGATCAAAGAGGGTGGCGGCAATAAAGCCACACTCAATGGTGTTCGAATTAATATCTCTCCCGACAACAACATTCAGGTGATACGCCGTCCGTTGATAGCTGCAAAGAAGAAAGCAGAACAAAACCCAAATTAAACCACATTTATTAACTTGCAATTTGAAAGAGCATAAAAATTGTCAAGAGAAACTAAATAAAGTGAATAGAAAGATAGGTGATGACGTTAATTAGAGCGATTTGGTTGATTCGCTTGTGCTAGACAAAAAAAGCAATACCAAGAGAATGCACCATATAGAAGTTTGTGCGTCGAAAGGTATTAAAATCGGAATGAACGAGTTCAAGGAACTTTCCCAACACATTCGCTAAACTAGTGAACGAACAAAAGAAGAGAAAAAAGAGAGTTCATCATATCAATGTAATCAACGTGGTATGGATGTTTTGTGTATGCCAGAGAATTCATCACCTCGAGCTCTGCCTTTGCAACACAGCGATGCGATGATTCGCGATTTCTTTTCATTCGCATGACATTATCGTGATACAACATCGACAATGACATCATTCACTCCCCCAACCCATTCTTCTATCCATTTCGTCCCTTCCCACTGCGTTTCTATGCTTCGACACTCGCATATGCGAAAGCTTTCTGTGCGCTCGCAGCAGTAGCAACAGCAGAGGGAATGAAAATGCTTTTGTTTTCACGACGACTTCATGGCCCAATGGAATTTTTTTTAATAACATCGCACAGATAATTTAAACCGCTGCTATGGTTCTCTCTGCTCTGTTGCTGCTTTTTGATATCGATGCCATTGCATGGCGAACATCGCGCGCACACACATAGCACAAAGCATTTGCATATAATTTTGAAAGTGCTGATTTTACCTCTAGGGCATTCATAGCAACATTTCAATCCGTTACTTTTGTGCTTTGACTTAACTCTTTGCATACCAATTGTTCTGTGGATATTCTGGGTATGTATGTGTGTGTTTCTTTCTCCCTCTTTCTCCCTCTTTCTCTCGCGCGCTTGCCGCAAACAAAGCAAATTGTGTTTGAGATCGTGAATTGCACGACCAACTCAGCCGTATTATTTCCCATTCAAAGCATTTTCAATATATATATATATATTCGAATCGACCACCAGTCGAACAATGGTTTTTGGTGCAGATTGAATTCGATCTGCATTTTTCGCTTTATCTCGAATTCAACATTATTAATAATGTCTTGGGGAAATTTTAGAATTCATCCTGTTCCACAGAAAAACAAATTGAGTTTGATTGAATACGAAATGACGGAAAATGATTCCCATTTTGTATGTGTGCGAGCGTAAATCCAACAGGCATGCAATGATACACTCAAACCAAAAAAAATGACATTCAATTGCGATATTTAAGTGGTGTGAAGCGACGGTTAAGACGATCGTTGCAGCAATAGTAACATTTTCGACCAAACATCAACGAAGTATTCCACTGAAAATTACTTTGGAAACAAAACGAAAAACCATTTGTTGTATGGCTTTTGGTTCACACGATATATGCACCCGATTTTATTAGCGATCGGCGCCTTCTTGTCTCAAATCGATCCGCCATCGCAATTTTCAACGAAAAAAAAAACAGCCCAGTAGGGTGAAAGTATGCACGAATTCACAATGCGATGTACTCCGCGTTTTCGTTTACTTTGGTTCGTGACGCGCCACAACAAACAATATTCACGAATTGTTTTTATATTTGGTTCGTTGAATGCGTTCTCTGTATGTGTGTTTGTTGGTAAGAATGAGAACTCGCAAGCGCTTCAGTAAATAACATTGTAAACATTCAGGCATACGGGGCGCAAAAAGTATAATTCACCTTTTCCCTATCGAGCCTCGGTCTCTCTTTCTCTCTAGCAATATATGTGCGTGTGTGCGAATTAACTATAGAACCATTTTATTCATGAATCAAATCACTATCGATTTCTACTTCACCGACAAAACCAAATGAAGCGAACGTCATTCTTCAACAACATTGTGTACGCTCGCGTCCCAAATTCGTGACAACCCATGACAAATGAACGAGCGGCCACCACCGTTCCAAATTGCTAGGAAACAAGATAAATTCTGACAATTTAGCACGTAAAAAATGTAAAGCATGTTTCTAGGAAAACGAAACGTTGCGAGCGAGAGAGAGAGAGAGAGAGAGAGAGAGGGAGGGAGGGAGAAAAATGCGAAAAAAACTAGAAAACATCGAGGCAAGTTTGTAATTAAACTTCACTTTGGATTCTGTCATTTGCATTGGTTTACGTGGCGGAAAAAGGATACTTGTTTAGCTTGAAAAGTTGGTGCTTGACAAGGACATAATATTAACCCATTATATGGTATGGTTTCGGTTGGGCTTCGTGCTACATTGTGGCTGCATGAGCATTTCTAGTGCTCTCATATTGCCTTTGACAAGGCATTCAAAAACACACATACACCATTACAGGTGGAGCCAGGCGCGTATACGCATCACTTTCCGACCATTTTTGAATTTAATTTTTTTTACGTTTCAAGTTTTCCAGTTCACGAATATTGTACGTAGTCAAGAGTTAGGTGACATTTCATGAAAAATGGCTTTAATTTATTTGAATGAAGATATAGCCATGTAATGGATGAAAAAAGAAAATGATGGAGTAACACCGGTTCGCAGCGCAGATACAGCGCTTTTGCATATATGATCTCTTTTCGACTAGTTTCGAAGTATATGTAAATTTGAGTAGCGCATACGGGCGACGGTGTTTATCATTTTCAGGTGCGTATCACCATTTTTACGATGTGCATAGGGGAATGGGGTCGATGTGCTTGGCCCATGTATAAGATAGCGTGAAATGTGTAACAAAATGATATTTATTCCCGTTTTTCACCTTCTCTCTCTCTTTCTCCCTCCTTTCAAGGCAAGTAGAAATCCAGCCGAAAAGTTTGTGAATATCATTTAATGCCTGCTCACCGGAATGGATCGACATGAAGGAGCCAAAAGTGTTTTAATTACTTTGACTGTGGAAGCTGGTATTAAGATCCATATAACATTGTGTGTGTGTGTGTGTGTGTGTGTGTGTGTTTGAAATGCAATTCAACCGATATAATTAAGGCTGCTTTTATTAGAAGCGGCAGCAATATTACAAGACATTTATCGCATACATTTCGCAACATTCGCCGTCATAAAATTTGTACCTAAACTGATATTCCAATCGAATGCTATACAATACATAAAGAAACCACCCATCGTCGTTGATACTTATTTCGAATGCAAATCAATCGTTTCGAGACCAACAAAGAATACCGATGGGAGCATGAAGAAAAATTGTCCATGGCTTAGTTCAAGGTTGGCAAAAACGCGAACGAACGCTCGCGCTACACATTTGTTTTTTGTTCGTGTTTTGTTTTCGGTGATCAAAGAACAATAACGCCGATGAAGTTAATTTGTGTGCTTGTTGAAATGTTTCGAAAAAAATTCAATGTTCATTGGGATTTTGTTGTTGTTATTTTTATATTCATTTAATGTTGTTGTCGTTGTCGTCGTCGTCGTCGTCGTCGTCGTCGGTGGCCGTCGTTCATCGATCGTTAAACGAATGAGTCAATTGAAATGTTCGAATGTCACGTAATGTCGAGGCAAACCCACCCTCAACTCGATAATTCTTTACGCGCTTAAACACACATACACACACAGAACACACACCACACATGTACACATGAAGCAACCAACTGGCTGCTTCTGTTACGGCGTAAATTTGTTTGTTTATTTTTTGTGCTTCGTGGTTCATTATACTTTTCGGCCGACAACATTGTGGCGCCAGTCAAACGTACCTCAATTCTACGGCTGCTATTGCTGCTGCTGTCGCAGCTTAGAAAATCGTGCGTGAAGCACTGAAACTCCTGATTTTGATCGTGTGTCGATGGAATTGATTTGTGTGAACTTTGTTTTTTTGTTGTTGGATAAATTAAATGGCCGATTCAAGTTAATCAAAATGGCCTTTTTTACTTTAAATGGGAAATTCCTTATCAAAAATGAATTCTATTCTTAGAGTGCGCGCGTTTCATTTTATTTATCGGGTGATTCACCATATAAGCAAAGGCACGCAAGCACATACTCACATTTTTCGCCAGTTAAATTGGACCCAAGACACTGCCGCCGTCATATACACATCTCATATTTTTCGTTTGCCAAAAAAAATATTGCAGATATTTTCACAATGACGAAAATGGAAGTAACTTGTTTCGGTTTTATAGCGCTTTCGTCGATTGTTATTTTTTTTCTCGTCTTGTCACCAAAACAGAACAACCCATTTTCCATACACGATGGCATGACTCATCAAGTTTACGACGAAGATTTTTCCCACAACCACAGAAAAAAATGACGACGATGACGACGAAGAAAAAGAAGAAGAAGAAGAAGATGAAGAAGAAGAGAAGCAAATCGTTGAGTAAGAGAGCAGAAGAACGCCTTTTATTGTAATTGTGCAAAGCAAAACGTTCGACTCTGTCCGATTGCTATCATCATTTATGCAAAGCTCATATCTCGACGATTCTTGCTTTTACGTCTCTTATTGTGTGTGCTCCGTATATAAGCGCGCATAAACAAGAAGAGCAAATGTGGAAAACAATATATGTTTGGGTTCTCTCTGTGTCTCTCTCTTACCCTCTCTATATACATCTCCTGTATATTGCCTGTTTTGTGACTCTGTGAGTCTAAATGGTTCCATAGTAATGTCTCTCTTTGTATTGGCATATCGTTTATACGGGAAAGGAAAAAAAAAACTGTTCGGTGAATCACACATTCCTCATGAGACGAAATTGTGCGCCACTCATTATGTTTGTATTTTCAGTTTTATTATGAGCAGGTACTCGTCGTATCTCTTCAGCTATGTTGTATGTCCAACAACAACAACAGCAACTCTTATGTTGTTGTTCGTTTCGTTTATTTTCAACTTATTTCGGTACATTATTATCGTATCAAAGTTAATTTATTGAAAATCAATATCCCAATGACTATTTCAAACAGTCGAAAGCAGTGGATGAGCCTTAAATATAGCAGAGATATGCATTTTGAACTTTCAACGCGACAACTAATCATTTATTTCAGTTGAAATGACTCAAG